ATGTCTCAGTCCAAAGAGTTGAAGGTAAATGTTAAACCAATGCTTTTCTTATTTTCCTAAGTCTACAGAATGATGAGGAGGAAGGGCCAGGAGAACACTACCTCCCCTGTTCCCACTGTGGAAATTGGAAGTTGGGCTCAGAACTGTTCCCAGCTATAGCAGCCAGGGGCTGTTGGCAATTTGTTCAGGCCCTGCTGTCCTTAGCCAGTGAATTGAAAGACCAGAAATCCATAACACTTCACTGTGAAGTGTTGTCTGTCTTTTGCATATGCCATCCACACGCTGGGGGAGAGCAGGCAGGTGCAGTGCTGCTGTTCCACAGTTTGTCTCCTCAGGCATGAAGGGCAGGCCCTGCCTGTGATCATCCTCCAAGGCAGCAGACATGGCCTCATCTTTGGTGGTGTGTGATGCAGCTCAGCATTTTGTTTAAAGCTCTGAAAATCCTGCCTTACTTGGGCAAGTCCCTGCCTCCTCTTTCTGTTTTATTTATTGACAAGACAAAGAGCTGGTGAGCAAATTATTGGCAGAGGCATAGCTGGAATCCAGTCTCAAACTGTCCCATCTAACTAAGCCACAGCTGTCCCATCTGAACAGCTTCCAGCTGTCTCCTCAGCTGTACCTTTGAATGTCCTGTCAGGTGATTAGGAAGTCTTTATGAATTGTTTTCTTTCAGAAGGAACCTCGTCATGTCACTTTTCAGCCCGACCCTGAAGAAGATGCCATACCTGTCAGCAGCTGGTCTGCCCGTCCTTTCCTGGGCTATGACTGGATTGCAGGTGAATCCTCACTCTGAAGCAAAGCTGACAGTGTGATGTGGTGATATTTAGAGTTAAAACACAGTTTATGACCCCTTTGAGGTGTGCTGGAACTGCTGTTCTGGGGCCAAAGGAGCAGGCCCCAGCAAAAGGGCTGCAGCTTTGTCTGAGGCCCCTCTCCAGACTAGAGGTGAGCTGTGCTTACCTGGAGTGGTGAAGTGGCAGTGGTATGGGAATTCAGGCAGCAAAAGGCAAAGCCTAGTGAGGTCAGAAGGGATACCAAATACCTGGAGTGAATGAATGCAAAAAGGGACCCGAACCACACAGTAAATCTCTGGCTTGACATGATGTTCTGCCCTTCTCATTATCATTATGTTGCTTTGACTGGATCTTGTGAGGCTTGCTTTAGTACTTTCCCAAATTTTGTAAATCATTGAACTTTTTCCTTGGTGTTCTCAGGGCTTCTTGATACAAAGTCTTCAGTAACAGAAAAATCTGAGCAATACTTCACTGAGCTGCAAGAGTTCCGACAGTCCAACAGAGAGACCTGTATTCATCAGCAGCACCTGGAGTAAGTGGGAACGGAGAAGGGCTGAAGCAGCAATGTTCAATCCCTTAGTAATCCCTGTAGTAATGATAAGCATAGTCTGATTGGAGCAGGACATTGCAAGCGTGGCTTTGAGGGTCTTTATTTACCTCTCAGTTATGTGTGCTTGGAAAAGGCAGTGCTGTTCAGAGGGTCAGCCCCTGTGTCACTAACTGATTTTCTTGTGTGTTTCTCTAGGCCCAAGGCTCTGGATTGCACAGGTCCTGAAGAAGAACCGGATTTGATAACTGATTCTCATAAGTGTAAGATCATATTTCTTCCTAATGCAATTTCTGTGAATAAACAACTGAGCAGTCTTTACCTGTCATCCTGTGAGAGCACCACGTCATGCAAGACCAGCAAGAGTGTGTTATTTTCAGCTGCTGCTTTTCAACCAGATTCAACTTTCTACTCCAAAGATACTTTGAGTCTTCTAGGGATCCACTCTCAGTGTCATTTTAATTTGTCAGGGTTTCTTGTAATTGGCTAATGTTCTGTTTCTGAATTGAAGAGATTGAAGTTTTGGTTTTGCTTTTTAGGAACTTACTTGGGGACAGGAAATGTATAAGATATTTCAGGAAAAGCAGCTCTTTTTATAGAATGCAGATGTGGCAGTGTGGTAGAACACAGATTTTTTTGGTTGGGTTCAGGCACCTTGTGACAAACAAGAGCTATGATGAAGGTTTGTTGCTCCGTGCAGGTTTTTACTGTTACGGATTAAACCAGCACCTCTTTACTGTCCCTGTGGATTCAGACTCTGCCTGCCCTGTGTGTAAGATCCCACGTACCCACCAGCCCCCAGGGACACTGGAGGAGCCAACCTATGTCAGGTAAATAAGACTTACTGCTTTGTAATGTGCACAACTCAAGGAAACAACAGAGAAGAAAATCTGATCAGGTGAAGGAAAAAAGAACATTCCAACAGTTCTGTAGAAGGTTGCTGTTCTCAAGGCAGAGATCTCTTGCTTAAAAACTCCTTCCCAACCTTAAGCAAGAACAGTCCTGAAATCAATGAGAAATGCAGGTTTTGTCTGAATTTGGTCCAGAATCTGAATGTACATGTAAAGTGTCTACTGTCCTAACCCAAAATGGTTCACTTGGTTCACTCCGGGGCTAGACCCTTGGATTCTGAGTGGGAAGCCATGCAGATTCCCTGTGCCTTGGCAGAGGTGTAGGCAGTTACTTCCTTTGTGTGGTTCCAGGGTCAGCATTCCCAGGTCTGCCCTTTTGCCAGCCTACAAGTACAAAGCCCATCGCAGGAGGAGCTTTGAGCCAGCAGATGACCTAGCACTGCCTTCGGTAAGTTGCTGTCTTCCTGTTGATGGCACAACCCCAGCTGATCCTTGCTTTATAACAAGAAGGAGAGAGAATCTGGCAGAGTTCCCACTAAAATTTTTGATGTGCATCTGTAAGATAGCCAGAATGTCCTTTGGTAGGTTCTGAGTTCATGCCTTTGTGTGAGTGAGATAAGATGTATGATGTATTTCCAGTGCTTTACGCTGCACAAAAGAAAATGCCATGTGGAGATTTGGCTGACTTGTTTCAGGCATTGGCCTCTCAACTCCATGAACCATAGCTAAGAGTAGCTGTGTTTGTTTCCACAGATGTTAAGGAGTCTGAAAGGCAAGTGTGTGTAAAGTATTCACAAAATCAGTAGTGGCAAGGGTGGATTTAAAGCTGCTGTTGTATTGCTGGTCCTGTATTCCAGCCAGTAGTCAATGCTGCAGGCAGTATTGTTAATTTAACCTAGCCCAGGCCTGGAGATTTCCAGGAAAGAGGTGGGAGGGAGCTTAGTTTTGTGGTTTAGGGAACTGGATGAGTCAGTTGAGACAGGTTCAGAGGGGTCAGGTGCTTGAGTTCACAAAGTGGGAGATCAGTTTAGAAAGATGGAAGTTCTCCTTTATTTGAGATTTCATTTCTTTCCTGTTAGTCATATAAAACTCCTCAAAAAAATAATAGATTAATTACTCACTTAAACTTCCCTGTGCAGAAGTTACTTCTAAACAATAACAGGCCACAAGAGATAAAAAAGGGAAAAGGATTCTCATCTTTTTTCACAGCATTGCCTGGCTGGCTGGGAAAACATGGTTCCTTCCAACAACACCCTGCTCAGTAGTTTGGATCTGCGAGCCTCACTGGAAGAGAAGCCTCCCTGTCCTCACCTGGTAAGCACAGCTTCACAAGTCCCTGGATATGTTGGGAATTGCACAAATGGAAATTGCAGCCCCATCTCTAAAGGGTGTGATTACTGGGGGCTGAGCAAACAAAAATTCCTGGAAGAGTATCTCCTTATCACTGCTGGGAAATGTTTTCCTTCTGCTGACTGGTGTGCACAGAGACAAAAAAGCAAATGGAGCTGAGTAACAGGCAAAATCCTGTTCAGCTCACCAGTCTTCATCCAAATGGGAAAAGTCACTTTGGCATTCTTTGATTAACATCCCCTTTATTTGGATTCCAGGACTCAGTGTCCAGAGTGTCAGGAGAAGCCAGAACTGACAAGTTTCTACACCTGCCTCCCTTGGCACACCTGAGGTGTAGCAGAGCAAACCCGGACACCAGACAGCAGCTCTCAGTTCAGACCCCACTCCCTCAACACTCTGGATCATGACATGATTGCCCTGGGGAAGGGATGGGCACAGCACGTGGAAACAACTCAGGAACAAAGCAATTTGGATAAAAATAAATCTTTGGACAGATTTTCCCCAGCTTTCATAGTCGTGGGCGTATGTGAGCAGTCAATACACAGATCTGAGTTTGTACAGTCACTGTGTTCATTTTGCATTTTTTGCCTTTTACAGCTACTCCTGAGCAGCTGCATGAAGTGTCCAGCTAGGGCTGGATAAAGTCATGTGTGCAGGATCATTAGTGCATCTGCCACCTCAACTCAGTCACCAGCAGTGTAGCATAAACTCTGAATGTCAGGGTAAGGAATTGGCCTGTGAAGGGCCTGGCTCAGTGGAGTGAAACACTCCACTGTGTTTATAAATATGTTTATTTCCGAATATTTGAAACGTGGCACACAATCTCCTAGCGTGTTAAACTTGAGTTCCTCAGTGATTTGTAAAAATTTTAAAAATCCAGTTTATTCTCAGTGCAATGTGTGTAGCTACAGAGTGTAGTACATCAGAGTAACTTTGACTGTGAAAAGAAAGTTAAAATGAGATTTTATTCATCAATGAGCTAGATAGTGCCTTCAAATCGTTACATATTTTGCTTACCTCTACTTTTCCAAGTTTTCTGGAGATAAACCAAAAAAGCATTTTAGAATTTTTAAACTGTATTAAAACAAACTACTTGACATAGTGTGATTTGTCTGAACTTTATAGACCAGTCTTACTTTCCGTGTCTGAAAACAATAAAACTGATGTTTTATTTTGCTTTGAATTTTCTGAAGCAGAAGTTCCTGCCTCAAATGTATTTTAGGGAGCTAACTTGAGAGAATGAATTCGGTTTGTGCAGCTTCTTGGCATTCACTTTTATATGAAATACATTATTTATTAAATCAATTGCATGAATAAACTTTTTTAAACAAGGAGAGGAATATTGCAAGCATGACTTAGCTTGACTGTAGCTTTGGGTTATGTATCTGTAGGGCCAATTGAATGGAATTGGTCACATAATTTCTATTATTGGAAATACTAATTTAAAAATAAAATAATCCAGGGGCTATAGAACACTAGGTGCCATATTTTATACCAAACAGGGCAAATTTAATATTTTTACTACCTTGCCTTCAGACTCAAGACATCATAAACTGTAATTTATCCTGAAACAAATTACAGCAAGCCTGTTCCACACTACAAACAGAGAAAAGGTCATGCTGTAGATTGATCCCACTGTAGATCCCATACTTCTGCACTGGACAGTGGACCCTGTGCTGGAGCCAGTGCTGGGATCTGCATTTCCAGGGAGAACAGAGAGTGGGGTGGGGGATTATTGGGATTGTTGGTGAGGAATACTGAAATGTTTTGAGGCCAAGAGTTTCTTAAGCCTAAAAATAATACAAACACTGGGCTTGGTTGTGTAAGCACAGAAGTATGGGATAGCTTGTCTGCTGTTCCTGGAGGTAGGCTGGACCTGGATTTATATTTTTTCCCATATTTAGCACTTAGGAACGTGCTGGTTCAGTCTGGGCAGCTGTGTATCCTATTGATGGCTGGCTCTGTGTGTGCTCATTTTGCCTGATGTTTTGGTAGTAAAGCTGGCTTAGTTCCCCTTTCTGACTGTATTGCATATATATAAAACTGATTCATGATATGGGAAATCCAGCTTTGCTTAATTAGACAAATTAGGTGCAGTAAATGATGTATTTGTGATTGTTTTGAACAGGGCGGTGTAGTTCAGCTGTTAAAAAGCAGCTCCCACCTACTTCTCAGTAGCAGTGTTAGATGGTCTTTAGTGTTTGTTTGCCTTCTGTTAAGATAATTTTTTGGTGTCTCAGGATCAGAAGTTTCTTGCTGTCAGTAAGAATTAATATCAAGAGTTTTGACTGAATGTAGTGCTGATTAATGTGTTCTGTTTTGTTATCAGCACATCAAGTAGTGACTCTCCCCAGAACTCCCGGGTGAAACAGCTGCATGTGGCTTGAACTTGCTTTTTGAATCATTTGCAAACTTTGATTTTGGGGGTTTTCATCTCTTTGGAAATTGTGTTTTCGAAGCCCATAAGGATTTATTTTCAGAGTGTCTCAAATTTGAAAACAGGGGGAGTTCTACCCTCTCTTTTTGGAGTCAAACCCCTCAATTTCACCAGCTCCCTGGATAATAGCTGAGCAAAACTAAGGACTTGGTTTTCTCCCTTCCATTGGTTTCTGCAGAGCAAAACTGCCAGGAAGATGAAAACAACACCCTATTTTTTTAGGGCTGAGGTGCTCAATTAGTCAAAGAAAAGAAGTTTTACAGTCTTTGGAAAAACTGCATCCTGAAAATCTTCCCATTTGATTTTTTTCATAAAAATTATTTAATATTTCACAAGTTTCTTTTGTTTTTGTCCACACAGGAAAGTTCATCTGCTTTCTATTATTGGTTAAGCTTTAAAACTCAGCTTTTAGATGAGGAGAACCAGAGTATCAAGAAAGGATGTGAGGTACCCAAAAAGGTCTGGGACACTGTGGGGGACTAACAAGTCCCAATTCTGTGTTTTAACTTTCTTATTTTCTATTTGGGATTAAATTGCATAGAATTGGAGCTCCTGGTGCTTTTTCAAATTGCTTTACCACGAGCTTTTTCTATGGAGAGTGACCATGTGTAACTTATACAACTGTTCCAGAAGCTGCAGTCAGAATTACTGAAAGTACAGACATGGTGTGATCTCTCCTCTAAGGTCATTTCTCTCTCTCTCCCTCTCCCTCTCTGTCTCTCCCAGCCTGTGGACATAGTAATTCTGTGATATAATTTTGGTTTCTTTCATGGAAGCCCCAGCTTTCTTAAGAGAATTGAGTTCTCTGTCAGCTCTTCTCATTTTCCAGTCTGACTCAAAATGTACTTTAGTTTTGAAGCTACTATGGGGCAGTAAAAGACATTTTATACTTTTTTTTTGTTACATTAGTTGTTTTATCCCTTTATGTAAGGCGGTGTTATTAGTTGAGATAATGAAAACAAAGGTATAAGATTTTTTTTCCACATAAAATCTATCTAAATGACATTTAAAGGAGTGTAAGTGGAAATTAAGACCTGTTGTCTTTATTATTAATATGGTAACCTTTTTTTTCCTGATGGTAACTCATTTTAAGCCATTGCTACACTTTAACAAGTGTGCAACAAGAGCTTTAAACCTTCTTAATTGTTGATCACAATGACAAATACACACTAAGGTAAATTGCTGAATCAAGACATCTCTTAGATAATGTTCTCAAGAGCACCTGCAGTGTATTTAATCCATTAAAGTGACATAATTAAATGGATTGACAAATATTTAATGCTAAGAATGAGAAGTGCTTGTGTCACCAAATAAATATCAGAACCAGAGTGGCATAGAGGGACAGAATTTTGCCAATCTGTGGCATAAATGAGGTTCTATTTCTTCTCCCACATGAAATTGAAATACTGTGTCAGCTCCAGCCAGTTCAAGCCCCAATGACTGGCTGTGGGATGTGTCTCAGTGTGATCCCATTGCTCTCCCCCCGTCTGTCCTCTTTGGCTGTGGAAAGATTTACTGAGAAATTTAGTATTGTCTTTCCTTACAATGCCAAAAATCATCGAGATCCTGTGTATTCCAGGACACCCAGGAGCAGAGCTCTCTGATGGCTAAAATGCCTAAATAGATCAAGAAAGGCAGCAAGAAAGTCATTCTTGGCTTTCTCCTTTCTTCATTTCTTGCTTTCCTTCTTTTAAACATGAGGTTCTCTGCACGTCTCGTTGCAGGAAATGCCTTCATTTCTCTTTTTTAATTTGTACCCCAAGGTTTGTAGCGTGTATCAACCCTGCCTTTAGTACTCCTGGGGCTCCTCATGAAGTTTGAAGCTCTGGCATTGTTTCATCTGGCTAATGAGCAAGAATTTGGTGATTTTTTTTTTTTTTTTTTGGTCAGCATACTGCTGACAAAATGCTTTCGATGCTGTTTCACTGGTCCTAAAAGTACAAGACAGACACAGTTAGGTGATGATGGGGGTTACCTTTATAAGGATCCTTACAGTGCACAAAACACTAGATGGAAAGTGCCAAAGATGCACACATAACATAAAGCAGATACAATTTTTATGTGTTTAGTAAATTAGCAAAACCGACAAGAATCCCCAGTTAGAGGCATAGGTGATGAAGTAACTTCTCCCTGTTCTACCCCATTCTGAAACCTCCACCCTCTTAGACAGGAACTAAATTTTCTTTATGAAAATGTGTCTCAAGAGAGCTGGTTTCAACCTTGGCTTCCAGAGCCTAACCTTGGACCCCCCAGGGTATTTATTTTGTCTTTCTGACTATAATAGAGTGGGTAAAATGCTAGCTACCAATACAATAATAGGCTACAGAGCTACAAATAGATATGTAAAGAATACAGAGAATATATAAAGGCAAAAAAGGCAGAAATCAATTTGGCATCACTCTGAAGAGCAACATTTAGAAACAGTGCAATACAGATTTTAGACAAGGTATTTTAATATGTATCCTTTTAAATTTCATGGTCTTTTCTATCTGTCAAAAGTTTAGAGATGACACTTCTCTTGGTGTTTATTTTTCCCTCTATACAGCCTGATATATATTAACTGAACATACACATTTAAAAGCAGAAGGAACCATAGTAAAAGTACAACATGAGACTAAATCAGCTACTTAAAAATTAGAAAATGTCGTAAGTACTTTTGCTTGAGCACGAGTGTACCAATGATCCTTCTGGAGTATTCCGTTGCTGCTTTCTTTGCTAGGCTCTCACTGTTAGAGCACAGAGAACAGACATTGCTGAAGGATGTTTGGGCATGTGGTGGAGATTTTCCCTTGTGCTTAGTTGGGTCTCTGTATTCTCTTGTTCCAAGTGGCATTTGAACAATCCCCGACTTACAGGGTTTTCTGAATTAGTTAAAATAGAAAATACCAAGCTAGCTTGTCTGAGGGCATCACTGCCTTTGACACCTAAAGCAAAAAGTGATCCAGGTGTCAGAGACAGATGTGTGTAATCAAATAAACATTATAAATAATAACAGCATGCTCACAGGGGCTTTCCCTTTTTTCCTGCCAGGCATTGTCCTTTGATGGAAGACCAGAGAATCAGGGGTTGGTTATTTGCTTCTATTTGTTTTGTGGGGTTTTTTTTTCATATTAACATAGGAGGTTATTTTCTAGGAAATAGAGCCACCATGTAGAGAACAGTAGCGTGGCTTTGCTATAAAATGGAGGTGCTTCTTCCAGTTACTGATAGGGCTTCTTTTGGAAAGCCCCTTTTGTTGTATTTGAAATCAAAATACACAGAGTCAGAAAAAATGCATTCACTTGGAAATGTGTACAGGCTGTGAGGTTCCTGTGGAGCAACCTCTTCACCCTTTTTATTGATGTTGCTTTTATTACAGACTTGTAATAACCTTTTATCATGTAACAGCCTTTCTGAAAAGCCAGCAGCAGCAATAAGCACCTTCCACTTCCTATCCTTTTAAATATCTACTTCAATCAAGAAAGAACTTAATAATTAAGAAATTCAAGGAAGAATGGCAGCTGGGAAGTCTGGTTTCACTTTGGATGTGTAAGTGGAGTTTTTCTTCTTTGGAGCACTAAGAAGCACCCTGGAGCCTTTCCCTCAGTGAGTGCCACTTGTCCCTTTATTTATGTCACCTTGTTCCATGAAACTTTATAAAACTTAATGGCATTGCCATCTCAGACAAATTTGAATGAAGTTATGCAGCGGGTTAAAAAATTATTGATACCATTCATTAAAAAGCAAGGAATAGACATATATATCAAAAATGCTCAGTATGTTCATTGCAGTTTTCCTATGGAAAACAGGCCAGAAAACTCTCCCTGGTGCCAGTTCTGGGAAAGTCTTTTACACACAGATTTTTGTACTCATGTAAGTAGTTGTTGCATCAGATACTTTGACTTCAGCAGTGTAACTTAAACCTTCCAGGCTCTCTGTGATGCTGGTGCTAGAAAAGCTTGGATGGGGCTTGATAAGAGAAAAAAAACACAGAGGGGAAGAAAAAAATACAAACAGATCTCATCAATTGTCCTGACTACTGTGTTATTTGAAACTGCATTAATAAATTGGGATAATTGCCTAATGGCATATTACTACAGAAGATTAAGGTGTGTTCTAGGCCATTATTTAATTAGGAAAAGCACGAATGTAATAATTTGCCATTGAAATTCTTAGTTTCCTCTAGACCTATAAGGCATAGCTACCCCAAAGCTTCTATAGCTAAGAGAGTTTAGAAACTGAGCAGTACCCTGGCAGAGCAGAGAGATGCATTTTGTGTCACATACACGATATGCAGTGTGCTGAAAATGCCTGGGGTTTATATGTTGGCATTCTGGAGAAACTAAAATCTAGGTAGTTAAAATGGTTGCAGCTGTCAGTTGAAAATATTTACACAGGGTCCCTGTGGAATGCTCATCTTTGGTGCTTGGTTGTGATGGCAGTGATGTAGCTGTGGATCTTTAGTAAAAGAATAATTTATCTCATTTTCAGTATTTTCTCATTTCTTTTGTTGTTGGTGCAAAGCAAAGAAAAAACGACCCAGAAGTGTGAGAATTCAAATTGTCATTATTTTCCTGTGTACCTCAGAGGGTTTTCAAGGCACTTGGCTTTTTTGAAGTGGCTAACCTTCACTTTTGACTAGACTTCTAGGGCAGATAAGGAGGCTTCATGACATCTTCAACCACCTGAATTATTTCCAGGCATCAGAACAAAAACCATGCAGAGTAACAAATGAAAGTGAGTGAAATGATGAGTAGGTGTCTTTAGGATGATTGTCATCAACAGGAATTAGTTTCTCCTGGGATTGGAGGAAAGGGAAGGTTTCTCAAGGGGAAGGTGTGCAGTATGTTGGTATTTGAAGTGGCAATGTGTAAAGCCTAAATCTTAGAGGAGTCACCATGGTTGAGTGTGAGTCTTCACCCACTCATCCAAACAGGAGTAAAATGACTGTACTGAAAGAATTAGCGTTTCTTACTGGGAACTTCCTTGAGGCTCGGTTGCAACTCTTGAAAAAGTGACTGCTGCATGGGGCAGGGCTTGGACTTGTGCCTGGCCAAGGCTTTGGGGTGGTGAAGTTCTCTCTGAGGGCAGCACAGATGACTCAGGAGCCTGTGCACAGCCAGCCATGTGCCTCGGGTGACAACCTGGATTCTCACAAGCGTCTCGCAGAAACTGCCAGCACCAGGACTAGACATTGAGGCAGTTTTGGTTTGTTCTATTTTTACCTTTCTCTTTTGGGGCAGCACTCCCTCCCCCTTCCTTCTAAATTGTTTTCTCAACTCAGTTGGGTCTCAAAGCCTGTCTCCTGCTTGTCCCAGGCAGCTGGCATGTCTCTGGGCTGAATGAACAGGCAAGGAGCATGACTTGGTGGCACTGTGGAAGGGTCTCAGCCTCCAGAAGGGACAAGCCATCTGTCTCACCTGCAGTGCTGGCAGCCAGGGACATTTAACAGCACCTCAGATGGCTGCCTGCAGCCTGCCTCTGGGACTGTGGCTCCTGCTGCTGCTCCAGGACATCCAGACAACCCTACAGGTAAGGCAGGGGGACGCCAGGATCCTGCAGGTGAGGTCTGGGGCACCTGGGGCTGCAGAGCCACCCTGCCCTTCAGCTGGGTGTTGGGGTGGGTGTCCAACGAAGCAGGGTTTGTTAAAGGTGGTGAGCAGAGCTCTCAGGAGATAAAGGTATAAAGCAGAGCAGCCAGGAGAATTTGCCCTCTCTGGGACCTTTACAGGCAGGAGTGTGGGCTCTGAGCTGTGATCTGCACCTTGCTGGCACTGCTGGAGCTGCTGCAGCTCCAGGCACGTCCCAGCTGGGGAGTGAGGAAAGGTTTCAGAGGGGTGGGGGGTTTATTTTTGCCTCTGTGCTCGTTGACACTCCTTGCAGAGCTCTGCTCACAGGGCTGCTGCCCACTCTGCTGATGCAAGTAAGGAGGGGCAAACTGAAAGGTGCACCCCCTCCCTACTGACACTGACTTCCTCATGAAGCCACTACTATTTCTGAATTAAAAATCACTTCAAATAGACAGAACCCACTGTCTGTACTCAGCTGATGCTGTAGATGCACACCAGCTCCCTGTTCTGATCCTATCAGCTCTTGTGGGTTTGCTTCCACCCACACACTGCCACTTATCCCCTCCTCGTGTGGATCACATGGCAATGAGCCCTCAGCACCTGGCATAAATCCAGGTGATTTCCCTGATTGATACTTTAAAATTCACATTAAAAAGTAGAAAGGTCAGGTGCAGAGAGACTGCACAGGTAAAGTCAGTTAGGTGAGTATTTGCATGGAGTTTGTTGGATTGGAAATGAGCCATATTCCCTTGAGTGGAAATACAGGCATATATTAGCCTAAGACACCTGTCAGTACACTAACTGAAAAGTCCAGCACATCATTTTGGCTGCCAGATATTTTTACAAGACACTGACCCCAGTTAAATATTTGAAAATAAGCAAGTTCTGTATCCTCTTCATAGATTTGAAAAATATCATCCTTCTTTTGGTAAGAGTAGGAGTTTGCTCTTGTGTCTTTAGTTGTAATTTCCCCTCCCACATTGCAAGTTTGGTTTACTTTCCCCATGTTATCTGTCCTGCCACTGTCTCCTTCCTGAAATGCAGAGGGATAAATGTTCAGTGAGATTGGAGTCTGTAATTCTTGCTCACCAGAGGAATGCTTGGGAAGGCATTCAGATGTGCTGAATGCAGACTGCTTTGGAGGGAAAGCCAATAGCAACAAAAAGATGATAATTTTTGACATCACTTTTGGTGGTTTGTTCACAAAATGAATGGGGCAGAGAGAAAATTTGGTTTTCTGATACTCATTGTCAATATTCAGACTCACTGTAAAATCATCAGGACATTGCTGGGATAAGGAACTGGCTTTGCACTGTCCTGCACTGCTTCTCTTGCAGCAATGCTTGCTCTTACTGCTAATGGAGTACAAGTGATACTTGCTAATGTGAGCAAGTCACTGTTTAGTGCTCATGTTTTTAAACCATGCTCCATCTCAACTCAGTGCACAGTTTAAGTTCTGTTTCTTTTTATATTCAGAGAACTCTCACTTGTTGATAATGCCTTTACTATCAAACAAATGAAGCTTGACCCCTTGAAGCTGTGGATTATCAGCTTTTTCTGTACTGTCAGAATTTGGATAGAAGCTTGACAGACAGTTAACTGTTTTGCTGCAGTATTAGTCAGTTCTAGAATAGCCACTGCTGGTAGGTTTTTTTTTTTTTTTTTTTACGGTAATATTCTTTCTTCCTGACTTACAGCTCATTTGTAGCAAGCCCAATTTCTTACTTTGCCTCACAATCACTTTTTCTCTATGAGTTCAAAAAGCCATAAATAAGTGAGTCAAACCTTGTCCTGACTGAATTGCAGAGTAGCCACTGAATTCAGCACCACCTTTACAACTGCCATTATTTAAATTGGAATAGCAAACATTTTTGTAGAAATAAGGAAAGTCAGAAAAGCTGTAAAAATCCTATTTTCTAAAACAAATTCTCTCAAGCAAGTGCTCAAAAACCCAAATAGTTTTGATCTATATGTTTGCTTTATTTAATTGGTCCTTGATCTGCAATGCATTCAGAAAAGAAAAAGAGCAGTTGACTTGCTGAGTGACTGAGAGCTCTAAACCAGTGCATCTGTCACAGAGCAGTCCAAGCAGGATAGGAATTGCCATCTTTCCTTTCACAAGATGAATTCCAGCTGCTGCTAAATCCAAAGCTTTTATTTGAAAAGAAAGTCAGAGAGAAAGATAAAGACCTCCTGTCCACCACAGCCACATGCCTTACTCCAATACCTGTGTGATCTTCCTCAAATGTAAATTTTTTTTTTTTAATAATACACATTTACAAACAGGCAAGTTTGTAAATAATAGCAGATGTTATTGCAATAAAACTGGCACTTCTGCATTGAGCCCTTAGAGAATGCTGGGGACCAACCTTCCTGCTGAGTTAAGAGCAGAACTTTGCATCATTGTGTTGCTGTTAGGAGTCAAACAGCTTTAGAATTTGGAGGGAAAAAGATGACAAGAATGGGGGCATGGTGACTGATGCTGAGCATTGACATGGATGTTATTTATCACTGAAAGGATCTACACTAATTTTTATACTCATGAAACACCTCTACTGAACAGATGCTGACTTACAGACATTTTGCCTATGGATTAGATGTGATGGGGTCTTCAGAAGGTGATTTCCCAGTCACAGACATCTTGCCATGATTTGTTAGAATGAATTTCTGTTGGATTAAGTTCTGATTTGGAGATGGGGTAATTGAGAGGTGAGAGCACCTTGGGTTTGGCTCAGTGGCAGTGCAGGTGGCTACAAAGCTGTGCTTGTAGCTTGACAGCAGCACTTGTGGAGGAGCCATGGATGAGCTGTGTAACGTGGGTGGCTGTAGGGCAGAGCTGCCCTCCCGTGGAAAGGGGGAAAATCAGCTTGAGCACTCTCTCATAAGTATATCTGCATAATCTGTTTAGTATATAGGCCTAGTTTATGCAGTGATTTATCACTGCACTACCATCAGTTCCAATTCATAATCAGAATGTTGGAACCAGGAGCAGAATCTAATATTAAACTCCTGATTTTCATATTCTTGGCAAGGTAACTTTTTAAAAAGCTGTTCTCTCGCATTTTTACACAGACACTATTCTTTTATTTAAGCCCAAACCCAGACAATTAAATAAACTGTAAACTTATGTGCTGCATTAGTAATTCAATAATTCAAAGGTTTGTACTCTTGTTTAAAATTCAGCTTCATTTCCAGCCAGAGTTGGTTGCCCAGGAGAACCAGGAAGAAAAAATTAGGTTTTTGTGGTGACTTCCCCCAGCTCTTGCAGAAAAACTAATCCAGGCTGATTTAGCCACAGCCAGGATGCTATTGTTTCTTGAATTTTCTTTATAGAAACAGTTAAATCACTAAGTAACTCAGGGCTGACCCTTTTTGAGGTGATTGGTCATTTCCTGCTGTTCTGCCTGGCCAGGGCACCCCTGCTCATGGACATGAGGAGACACCTTTACCTTTTCCTCCTCCTCCAGTCCAGGGCTTCCTCCTGAGAGCAGGAAAACAGTGGGTGCACCTTGGTAAACGTGCTTTGAGGCAGGCTGAGCAGGAGGAAAACCTGCTCCTGCCTCTACAGTCACGTACAAAATGTGCTTGTAGGGAGCCCAGGGGTTATAGTGCAGAGATGTGTCACCCTTCTCACTTCTGTTACTGGAATTCAGTGAAATTTAATGGTTTTGTATGGCTTTGTGGGTCCCAATTAAGAAGTGACACCTAGATTTTTAACCCAAAACTGACCCCTCAAGACTCACAGTGTGGATTTTTCTACCCAATTACAAGATACCACCTAAACCCATGAAGAAGAAAGAAGAAAAAGGAACACGAGACAACACCCTATACCCTCCATCTTGTCCCCACCTACAGCACACTAAAACTCCTAAAACCTGAATTTCTCACCCAAGTGACATTCTATACTACTCTCTATAATCTATTTCACACTTTTGTGGTCTCTAGTTTATTTTGAGGCTTTGGAGGCCTTCTCCATGAATGAGGGTCAAAGTCAGTGCTTCCCTGGGAGCCAGAATCCCTCAGGGCAGACAGAGAAATATTCCCCTTGCCCCGGGTTTCCAGTTTTGATATGTTTCTAATTCTTGTTCTTCTGTTAATTTCCTCCTTGACTGAAAGCTCCTGTCTTCTGATGGAAGTGAAATAATTTTTATATTTTGTGTGTATTTAATAGGAGAACAGGTTGTGAAATGATTAAGTACTGAGATTCTGCACAGTGCACAAAGGCAGCAGGTGACAGCAAGTATTATTTCAAAGACCAGCGGGAAATTCATTGGCAGAAAGTGAGATGTGGAGTTTCTGAAATATTTAACTGCTCTACCAGTATCGTGTGGGAAAATCTCCAGGGAATCTGCTTATCAATTCTTAACAAAAAAAACCCGAAAAAAACCCTCTGCTAAAAAAAAAAATCAGTGTTCATACACTTCTAGTAAATACTGAAAATGAATTTCAGATAACAACATCTTTAGGGGATTCTTAAGGGAGATGCCAAATTCAAAAATCAGATATTCTCATCAGAACACTTGTAGCACTGTAATTTCCCAGAGCATGTTGTGGCCCAGCCATACAAAAACTAAATCTTATTTTGTGCTTCTTGTTACAGATTATAGCTGGGTCTCATTTTGTAAGCTAATATCAAAACTATTTTATGGTGGTTTTTTTGAGACTAAATAAATATCGGTTATGTAGTGATGAAAGGTTATTTCTGAAAACCTTCACTCACAACAGAAGTGGGATCAGTTATTTGAATAAGGCCTTCATCAATCATTTGCATAATTCTTTTCAAGGCAAAATCCTCTTGAAGGATTTGTCCCTTAATTATAAGTAAAATAATTTATTGGTTTATAATACACACTTAGGTTGCTAAATTCAAACAGTATGACTGTTTAAGTTACAGGAAATTTGGATACTGACAACAGAAATGACCTCTGTGGATTACACCAAATCCTTAGCTCCAATTAACATAAAATCATTTTAGGACAGTAATTTTTTTTTTTTTTTTTTTTTTTTTTTTTTTTGCTAACTGCTGCAATATTTATAAAGGAAATGTGAACAAGAACTTAGTTGCTTCGGGAGTACTTGAATTTTCAAAACACCGTGGGCTTTTCTTTAACCACCATTGCTTGAGATAGACATTGGGATCTACTCTAGTAGAGAATTAATTGTTTTCTAATTGTGTTTTTTGTCTCTTTCAATTTCTAGACATCATTAAGCCCACGCCATTCCTGTGATACACTAGAGAACTGGTTCTATGATGAAACTTCACAAAACTGCTGTTACCAGTGTCCCCCAGGTACGTTTATAATTCAGCCAAGTTTATATGGAGGCAGTAGGAGCCCTGTGTATCTGCAGAGTTGTATTTTGTCCCCAAATAAAGGGGCATTTTCATGAATCTCTCTCTAATGTGGCTCCAGATGTGAATCTCTTCCCCACTGTCCTGCTCCTGTGTGGTCTGCATGCAAACCAGATAACTTTTATGGGATTTTACCACTTGGTACTGAAGTAGCCAGGTCAAAGAATTCATTGCCCCTGGGTGTGAATGAGCACAGTGAAATTAGGCTAAATGAGTTTCTTCTCAGAGATAAAAAAATGTAAAATGAAGGTATGGAAAATCTGACATTATTCTCATAGTCACAACAGTTTAGAAAGTGTCTCACATGAGGGAGGAAACAGGCCCTTGTCAGGGGGCACATTAAGCTGGGTGTGACTCAGAGGCACATAAGGTCAGCAACAGGAAACACTTGGTGAGACAAGAGTTCTGGAAATGTCTGCAACTGCCCCACTGGCCAAAACCCCCTCAGTGGGTGGGTATTTTGTGGTACTTCAGCACCATCTGTATCTTCTTGCTGAAGTAATTTTCTTTCATTTTTCTTAAAGAAATTTCTGACCTGTATTTGTGTTCTGATGATACAGAGGGCTTTTAGTGTTTGATTGCCAGTATTTTTTATTTTAGTGTTTGATTGCCAGTATTTTTACCATCAGGATTCCCACCAGGAATCCTGGGCACACCACTGGTGTGGCAGGCACATTCTTCTCTCTCTCAGGATTTTTTCATAGGGGAGCACAGAGGAAAGAAAGAGAAAACAATTTCTATTTCTGCTCCTTGTTTTTCCTATGTGGAATGTGTTTGGAGAATTGTTTCCCTGGGGTGACTGCTTGGTTGGGTTCTGGTGAGGATTGTTTGAGCCTGGTGGCCGATCCAACCCACCAGGGGCTGGGCTCGCAGAGAGGGTCACGAGTTGTGAGTTAGATCTGGTTGTTAGAAAAAGTAGGTAGGTTGTTTTAGTATCTCATTTAAATAATATATTAATGTATTATAGCATAGTTATAATAAATAAGTCATTCAGCCTTATGAACTGGAGTCAGACATCATAATTTCTTCCCACTGCATTCACCTGCATTTACAATACGTTACAGTCCTTCAGAAGTTGTAGATGTAAATCAGAGCAAGGGATGGAGAAAATGGTTCAATAAAAGAAAAAATGGGTGGGGATGTGAATTTGACAGTCCCAAGAAAAGCTCTTTTCTTCTTCAAAACCACACTTTGCCAAAGCTCCTGTCATGAGGGGTGTCATAGTAAGGCTGGGTGAGCAGCAGAGATCTGATTTACACCAGGCTGTAATGAGCCACCAGCATCCATCAGTTCACATTTGCTGATTCTCTGTTGCTACATCCTCATGTCAGTCCTGGACTCCTCCACAAGAAAAGTTATAAGAATCCTTTTCCAAAGAATCCTTTTAATTGTCCACTACTCCTCCAAGCACTAACCTGTTCATACCTGCTACCAACTCAGCTGCTCACTGCAAAGAAAGAGGAGCTTTTCTAAAAGTCCTTTTAACCAAATGAGGAAAAGAAGGAAACATGAAACCCACTTCCCTGGGAACTTAGTAGTGGCAGGACACTGGCTCTCATGGAGCCTTGGTTGTCTTTTCTGTCAGCAAATGACTTGCCATCTGCCCATTCTGCAGCAATCCATTCCAGCTGGGACTATGTCCTGGCCCTGTACCTTAACACTTGAATAGGAAAGGCAGAAATGGCCTAGAGAAGCCAAATAACCTGTGGTAGTGTGTCTAACAGGTAAACAAGCAGACAAGAACATTTCAGGATGGTTTTCTGCCCATTTTGGATAGATATTTTGTATATTTTTCTTTTTTTTTTTCTTCAGGCTATGTTAAAAAGAAAGCATGTCCTCAGGATCCAGCTGAAGACTGCATGACGTGTGGACCTGATCAGTATTTGAACAATAAATTCCAAAAGCCACAATGTGATGCCTGTGTGTCATGCCCAAAAGGTTTGCTTTTCTCCACACATACCTCACAGTTACATTCTCTCTCTGTATATTTTATTTACGCTTAATTTGTATTTTATTCATTTCGAATTTCCACAGCAAAATTATCCATCCTTTGTTACTGAGTTAGACAGCAGAATGGTACCTTGCATATAATCCATGTTACTGCCTGTGTCACCTGGAACTACCTAAAAATTCTTCCCTCCAGTGCTATCCCAGTCTGGTTTCTGCTTTCTGTCTTGTATTGCAAGCTATTATCTACAGGCTTCTCTAATTATTCATGACTCAAATTGCCATCATATGGCTTTAAACTGAAAGAGGGCAGGTTTAGATTAGATACTGGGAAGAAGCACTTCCCCTGTGAGGGTGGGGAGGCCCTGGCACAGCTTGCCCAGAGAAGCTGTGGCTGCCCCATCCCTGGAAGTGCTCAAGGACAGGTTGGACAGGACTTGGAGAAACCTGGGACAGTGGAAGGTGTCCCTGCCTGTCGCTGTTGGACATGAAATGAGCACACAGAATCTTGGTAAGTTCAAAAGAGAAAAAAAGACACAGTTTTATTCGAACATCTGGTATTTACAGAATTCCAAAGGTGACCGTGGATTGGACGATGGAATTACCATCTCTCCAACCACACTGTTCCAAAGATCAATCAATCATTTCTCTCCACCCACAGAGAAATACGTAAACTGTTATATTTATACATGAGATTGTGTGGGAACTCTGACTCTCAAATATGTAAACATTATCAGAAGGCTAAAGAGAACTTTAAAACTTTCAAAAGAACTATAAAAGAAAACTTACCACTTTTAAAAATCAGGGCAACACCTGCCCATGGTAGGGGTGGAATGAGATCAGTGTTAAACTCATCTTCAACACAAACCAGTCTGTGATCATGTCAGCGTTCAGGAACACACATAATCACAGGATATGATTCTATGCAGGTGCTTTTATTGAGAGCTCTGGGAATCAGGGGTGCAGACCAAATTTGACTCCGACATGGCATTCCAGCTGAACGTATTTTATATTCTATCATTATATAACTTACATATTAATTATTAAACTTATATTGTTCTATTGTATACATTGACTTTATTCAAGCACGAGTTTCTCGTGATCTTTCTTAGGCCCCTGACCACAGTTTCTCATGATTATTCTTATAATTAAACAGTAATTATATTTAATTACTAAACAATCATCACATCTAACAATTATATCATTTATCATGTACTAGCTACACAGGTGCAGATCTAGCGAGGTACAAGGCCCTCATGTACCTAGGGTATTTATTTTTTTCAGGGCCTACTAAGCTTAATTTTCCTTTTAACCAAAAATCCCCATGATTTTAAAACCCTTTTACTATCAATTATGAAGAGAGACTATTGTAAATGCAGGCAAACTCAATGGGAAGAAATGACGATGTCTGACTCAATTTAGAAGGCTGAATTGTTTCTTTATTATAACTATGCTAAAATACATTAATATGTTATAAAAAGGAGGATACTAAAATTATGTACTACTTTCTCTGACTCTAACTTTCTCACAACTGTTGACTGTCTCTCGAGATTCCAGCCCCTGGTGGGTTGGATTGGCCATCAGGCTCAAACAATCCTCACCAGAATCCAACCAAGCACTCACTCCAGGGAAACAATTCTCCAAACACATTCCACATAGGAAAAACAAGGAGCAGAACTAGAAATTGTTTTCTCTTTCATTTCTCTCTGTGCACCTCTATGAAAAATTCTGAGAGGGAGATAAATGTGCTTGCCACAAGAGACAGCAGCTTTTCCTGCTTCCTGAGCCTTAGAACTGGTGTTGCTCAGCTTTGGCCCCAGTTGACATTTCCTTACCAGGGGATCCTTTGTCACTGCATGTGTTTCTTGCCCGCAGAGCTGGACCTGGTGGAGAAGCAGCCCTGCTCCTTCCATTCGGGCCGCGTGTGCGAGTGCCGGCCGGGGCTGTTCTGCCAGCTCAGCGTGGTGCACAGCTGCTCGCGCTGCCAGCCCCACTCTGCCTGCCGGCCTGGCTTTGGAGTCAGAGTCAGGGGTAGGGCTTCTCTCCTGCCCCCTTCACCTTTCCTGGTCCTGGCCACAGGCCTGGACCTGATGTGGGTTGTTTGGTCAGTCCTCAGCCGTGATTTTTATTCAGGAACCTCGACAAATGATGTCACTTGTGAAGAGTGCCCTCCTGGGACCTTCTCGGATCAAAACTCCAGCACAGACATCTGCAAACCCCACACCAAGTAAGTCTGTGCTTCTTTAACGGGACTGACTGATTGAAGTGAATAAAGGATGAAATAGGGTATGTCACTGTTGGAATCTGTGGTATTGATGATTCCAAAATTGTAGAAAGTCTCTGAGCCCCACAGCCAAAGCAGAAGCCATAATTGGTCTGTGCTGTTTCAAGGTTGTTTATTCTGTTTATCTCTAACATGTTCTGCTGCCCTGCCGCAGGTCTGTCCTGCAGGGCAGCGTGTGGGGCTCTGCCCTCAGTGGGATGGTACAAACATTAAATACCACAAACTACCTGTGCTGGATTTACAATAACGTGCCAATATCTGTCACCTACGTTGGACAGTGTGTCCCCAGCCTGAACCAACAGAAAAATGCCAACACCACAGTGAAACATGGAGGGCATGAAGAAGGAGAAAAAGGACAAGGCACACCCAATTTCCTCCATCTTGTCCCCTTTGGACCCCTAATCTAGAATCCTAAAATTTTACTTTTGCACCCGTGCCACACTTAATTATTACTTATATCAAACACTCAGAGCTGGTAATTGATCCTGTAAGATTGAAAACTCTTTTCCATGGACAGAGATCCCAGCCAGTGTCTCTGGGGGCTCTGTCCAGGGGGGTTCCTGACCCCTGCCAGGGTCCCAGCCCTGCCAGGGCAGCCAGAGGATTGCCCTGGACTCCCACATGTCACTTCTGGTGCAAAGTATACAAATCCACCGTAGAAGCAAGGGAATCACTGTGGGCTCATGTGCAGAGGTTAGGAGGCCTCTATTAGTACCTGTTGTAGGAATGTGCCTCTGTTAACAGAGTAAACAAGTTACCCTTTGTCTCCTTAATAAGGAAAAAAGCCCAGAAGTTTCTCTCCTCAATTTGGTTAAAAGACACTTCATAGGACCTTGGAGACTTCACCTCAAACTTAAGGACACCCAATTGGACAGAAGCCAAAAAGTCCCACCTGGGCAAGAACCTCTTGCCCTGGCTCGGTTTTTCTCTGTAAAGAGCTTTATTTTTTGCCTTTTATTAAAACTTTTTTGTTTCCAACACTGTCACAGGAGCCATCCTGCTACTTTTATGTCACCTGAGGTAGCTGAGCTATCTAGAGTGTAATACTTATCTCTGAGAGCTTTTGAGACCTGGCTCAAAGAGACCAAGTATTAACCTGTTGCACAGCTCTGGGCTGGAGGAACAAGGGTAGGAAGGAATCCAGCTTGCCTCATTTTTAGTTTACTAAGTCCTGTGGAATTGCAGACCTGTGTGAGTAGCAGCTTTGTATTCAGGCCAAGAATTAATGCCACAGGGATGAGAAAAATAATGACTTTTACACAGAAAGCAATAATTGTGGTTGGTACAAAAATGACCAAGGGTATGTTTGTCACATGGAAAATACTTGTACCTTGTACCACACAATAACACTTGTTCTTTTTTCATACCCAGCTGTGCCAAGTTGAACAAAGTAATGCTAAGGAAAGGAAATGCTACCCATGATCAAGTTTGCCTGGACCAGTTGCCCACTTACCTCACCCCAAGCACTTTGTCCGTGAAATTCAGCAATGAAACAAATGACTTTGACCTGAGGATGTTTAAAGAGAACCTGGTGACCTCTGCTAGTGGTGCCACAACAACTGAAAACCCCAGTTCAACTCCTGAGGAGAAAGCTGGCACCTCTCCCACCTCTGCCAAGGGGGAGATGACAACAGGAGGTAACAAAGGCACAGCATTTGCTCTCTAGACCTTTTTATTTGGAAGTATCTTTGGTAAACACAATTTTTATGTGGGAACTTCCTGCAAATCCCCTCTGACTTGTGCAATGATGTCTATGTTCCTGTGTTCAAACACATGGATTGACTGAGGGTTTTCCCTCTGCCTTTTCTCAGCCTGTGCTGTGCTCCCTCTCTGTGCTGTAGGTGCAGTGCTTTGGGCAGTGGTTCTCTCTGGGACAGTGCTTCTGGGGGGCACGCTGGTATTTTGGAAATGGAAGGTTTGCAAGAAGCGGATCCTCATCCTCAGAAGAAAGCGTGAGTTTTTCAAGCTGTAATGCGGGATGTGCTGCTTGGTCTGCCAAAAAACAGATGGGAAACTCAAATGTGGGGATGTTTGTGGAGGTCATTGGGGAAGAGAATGTTCTCTACAGGCCAGATAAGGGTTTAAGGCAAGCTGCTCATGCAGGACGTTGGAGAACATGAAGGATGGAAGCAGCTGTGAATTTTAGGGAGGGAAGCAGGAAAAGGTAACTAGCTGCTTCTTTCAGCACAGACATTAAATGATACCTGAAGTGTTGTGTGAGTAGCTTTTGGTTCTGGGAACAGACTGGGCTTTGAGCATGAGAGGAAGCGTGATTTTTACTGACACTGACTCCCCAGAGCTTTACCTGGTGATACACGTGGGGTGTGTCTGCAAAACCACATTCCCTCTTTTACAGAAAGCGGGATGTGCACATTGTAGGTTGGTTGTAGACCTGTGGGTGTGGTGAAGCTGTTGGAGCCTTCAGGCTCCATGGTGAGTTTGACTAAATGAAAGGTTTCTTTTGTCAGCACACCTGCATTCGGTCATCGCACACAAATACGTGCTCAAGTCTCAAGGTGAGTGACTGTGGGCCAGCAGTGCCATCCTTATGTCTGCAGAATAAGTAGATTGTTTAATATGGGATTTTAGTCTATAGAATTTTAATTTAAAAATTAAATTAATTGGCCATGCAGAAGGCCAGTTCTGTTCCTCCTGAGCAGGCAGGGCACACGCTGGGTGTCACCAGGTGCCAGCAGATGTCACTTTGTTCCCACAGCAGCTGAAGGGTTGGGTGACGTGTCAGTGCTGGAAAACGCCTGATTGATTTCGGGACAGTCAAACATGGGAGATGTGTTCAGAAAAAAACCTGCCCAGATCCCATAAAGTGCAAACCTTTTACCCACTTAGCTGATCCCCTCTCAGCAATTCCGCTGCCACTGCCAGATCCATGTTCTCTTGTGTCAGATTCTAATTACCACACAGCAGAGCTTTCTATATTTGTTCATTCAGGAATATAATTTAAAACCTCTTGTGTGCAGCCTTATTTTCCCAAAATGGAATTTTTTCTCCCTTGCTTGCCTCTATTACTGTGTAGCCTTACAGAGCTGGTGGTCTGAAAATAGGAGTGACTGTACATCAGGGTGAAATTAGACACTAAGTCTGAGCCCACCTACCTTCATGGTGCTGCAGAGTGTTGTACACTCCCTCCTTCTCACCTCTCTTCTTTGCCCAGGGTTCCCTGTTAATGGAACTGTGCATAAAATCTCACCCCCTTAATAATCATCTGACAATATGATGAACTGACCTAACTTGTTAATCCAGCAGAAAGTTATTAATTTTTTTTTCTTTTTAATAAGCGTGTATTGTTCTTATCTAGACAGTTTAATCAGTTCATTTTTTCATGAGATGAGTATCAGTTGTGGTATAGGGACAGTGATGCAAAAGGTGTTGGGGACAGTAGGACATCACAGTCCTGGCAGCAACCTTCACTGGTTCACCTCAGGAGTGTCATTTCAGGGTGCCCTGAGTTTTAATAAAACCATCATGCATATGGGGTGGGCAGTGGAGTGGTTTAGGAAGTACATTACTAGGTGATCTTTCAGAGCATATATTAACATTCTTGTGATTTTCTGAGGTTTCTTCTGATAATGTTTTTACTTTTCCATTGCAGGTTCGGATCTCGTGAACAAATGTGCAGTAAGTGTGAACAATATTCCAAAACAGATCACTTTCCATGCCAAAGTAAATCATGTTATTTTCAAATGTCCTGTCTAAACATTCCACGTAGGAAAAACAAGAAGCAGAACTGGAAATTGTTTTGTCTTTCATTTCTCTCTGTGCTCCTCTATGAAAAATCCTGAGAGTGAGAGAAATGTGCTTGCCACACTTTGGAGCATTTCACTCCCTGTGACAGTTATTCTGTTATCCTGACTGCCACAGGAGCATTCTGTGTTCCTGTTGCAAATTGGCTTTACACTCACCTCACCTCTGCCCTCCTGTTTATATTGGCAGAAGATCATACTGACCACTGACAGTGGGCTAGAAGAGGAGGAGTTAATTGACAGAGCCCTTCCTTTGGAAACCAACAATAACTTGGTGTCCAGCACAGAAAAAGCCCAAAGTGCTCATCGGGGTGTGACTGATGTGACACCAAGCAATGGGAATGCCCCAGACTGCCCTGTGGATTCCCGAGTCAGAGACCACACAAATAACAGAATTGGTGAGTCTTGCTTTTTTATTTTTCCCTTTTGTCATCTTTTTTCAAATTTGTAAACATGGCACATACTGCCACTCCAAGATTATTAGTAAACTTCAGTGTCCAAATCTCCTAACAAAGATTGTGCTGAATCTCCAGATCTTTGACACAAAAATACCTGTTCATTTGAAATATAATGCTTTCTTTTTTTAATGCTTATCTTAGTCACTATGAATTTGACAGAAAATTCCCTTCCTCCTCCTTTTCATTCTGGAATATGTAGATTTTACAGAAGAAATTTGAATACGTCAGCTGGAAGATGATGCTGTAATACCAAAGGAGAATTGTATTTAGCTATAATTTTCTTTTCTGCTTTCATAATAATGGCTTGAAATGTATCTCCCATGTGTTCCCATAAAGTCTTTGACCATGGCACAGGGTGGGAGATAAAGGAGCTCAGGCAAGGAGCTCATTCATAGGGGGTGAATTCTCCTCTGAGACACCATCTGCATGAGACATTCTGGCAGTGTTTCCAAACCCAGTTCTGAGGTTATTCAAAGGTGTTATTTTTCATATTACAAAACCTGACCTTTCCTTACTAAACACCTTTCCTGTTTTTACTGTGAGTGATGGATTTGGATGAATGGGATGATTTGATTTACCATATCCAAATATCTCCAAGCAATTAACCTACAGTGTCTGATGTGCAGCATCCTTCTGAATTAAGTGCAATGGTGCAAACCATTGAAAATCCTTATTTATCTTTCTGTGAAGGGGTATGACAGCAAGCTGGACTCAAGATTCAGAAAATTTTGTAGTTTCTCAGCTAGAAACGAGCTAATTTCTTTGCAGGTCCTAAGAACCCAGAACTTCTCTACAGTGCTGATCTTTACCCAAAGATTTCATTTACATGGTGTTGTTTCTTGAAACAGCAGGAAAATAAACCTTGGATTCTTTAGATCCCAATTAGTTGCTTCTTCTAATAGATTCTTGTGAATATCTTCTGCCTTTTCCACTTTGTCTTTCTCATGTAGTTCCACCTCTAGCTCAGTGGCTTAAGCCCATGGAAGCACAATCTACTAGATCTGAAATGTCCAGAGTCCTAATAAAAATGTTGCATGAAAACAGCCACCTCTGGGGCAGCAGTGACTGTTCACCAATGCTCAGCATTACTTTTTCCTTCCTCAGAAAAACTCTACATCATGAAGGCCGACACTGTTATTGTGGGCTCTGTTTCAGAAGTGCCCAGTGGCAAGAACTGTGCTGTTAAAGGATGTGAAAGTAACCTTGATGCCCAGGAAAGCATGGAAGAAGACTTGGAAATGCACTACCCAGAGCAGGAAACAGAGTCTTTTCCAGAGAATGATGGAATGGTTCCTGTGGAAGAGGAGGGAAAAGAATTTCACCACCCTACCACTGCCACTGAGAAGTGACAGCCCACAGAGATACAGAAGACATAGAATCATCCAGTGTGACACTAAGGCTGAATTTATGACAAGGGAGGTAAACACACTGTGCCTTAGATTATTGGGAAACTCCTGGAAAACACTGAAACACTTTCAAACAAGGAGAGTTAGAACCTATTTCATCTAACAAATGAGAGGATCCAAACTGCCTTCACAGCTGACATCAAATACTTCTATTTCCCTGTCTCCCAGTATCATACTGACAACAAATTTGAATCAAAGCTGCGTAATTTAGAGGACATCTGGATGTCAGCTGAAGTTTCACAGCTTGTTTTCTCAGTGTGAAGGAATGGATTGAAATCTATGTCTGGTTGCTTCTATTAGCTGTGAAAATTCTGGCCAGGATTCTGAGTCAAGCTTGAGACTCAGCCATGTTGTTTCTATTCCAATAGTTTCAGTTTTGTAATTGGCATTTTGTAATCTGGCATTTTCTCAAGGCTTCAACCTTTGATTGAAAATTATAATAATCTCAGTTTTACCTAGAATAAACCTCAAGTTTGTGGACTTCATGTTTCTTGAGGAATTAGGATCAAAGGTGCCACACAGGCTCTGAAAATAGAAGGCAAATAAAACTAATTGAAGTCCACTGTACTTTAGGCCATTCTTTCTAGGTTTTGAAGTCTGATTCATATTTTTTTTGACTGCATCAAATCATTAGTAAGTGTACAAAACAGTCTCTTCTGATGGAAGCCAAACTGGTTGAACATCTGGCTTTTGGATGAAGTATGTGTTAAGCCCAGTGTGGAGCCTGTAAAAAGAGAAATGAAGAAAAGAAACTATTTCTCTACTGAAAAAGAGGCACAGCAGTTATTTCCTATAACATTGTTAATATCTACTTGTTTTAGAATTGTTCATAATCATCATGGTGACACAGATTTGCATATCCTTTAAAAACAAACCTGTCTGGTGGCCAACTGGCACGTGTTATGCTATTTTTAAATCTTTTGTGCTGCTTGTTCAATAACTGTAAATGTAATAGTGCTGACTATACTTTTGCACAGGACAATGGAAAATGAGCAATATGACAAAGTGTGTCTTAATAATCAAAAAGATGAACCACAAAACCCATTACTTGCTTTGTAGTTTTGTCCTGATCAGAGCACTGTAATAACAGTGGTGCAGCTGCAGCAGCTTCTGTCTTAGAGTGAACACAAGGGCAAAAAAACACCTTCCTGGGCCAGACTGGAGTTTGAGCCCAACATTTCATCTCTGACAGTTGCAGGAAGGGCTCAGTGAGGAAGACCATAATTGCTGTTTGCATTCATCACAGTTCTGCAGTTGCTGCTGGCATTGGACTAAGGATGTCAGAGAGTTTGATTCAGCCTTTATTATTCTCTCATATCACCATTAGTTTTCCTTCTTTCTTTTGAATTCCCAAGTACAATCTGCCTCCATAAGCACCTGTGGCAGAAGATTACAGATATCATGCACTGTGTAAAGGACTTTTAGCACTTTGAAATGGGCCTCTGTCACTAGCTGTTGCCTTACAGAAGTCAGTGAGTTGCTTTTCATTTTTTCTTTTTCAAGCAAGTTGCTTTTGTGATTGATTGTATCTCATTGTATCTCAGCTTTGATTGAACTAAGCCTCCAGGTAGAGTTCCCATCTTTTTATATTACTCATGTAAATTTGATGCTCCACTGGCTTGGTCATCTTAGTTGACCTTTCCTACAACAACTTTAACTTCACTACATATTTCATTTTAGAGAAACCAGTTTGTGAATCCACAAACTGAATAACCACATTTACCTGGGTGTGATTGTTTGGGGCTGTTCTGCAATGACTGTAATTGTGTATTTCTACTCTGTATATTAATTAATCTTTTTTTACTGGAACAGCTTTCTAAAAGAACCATATGCATTGCAACCTGCTGGATATGTTATAGTTAGTTGGTTAATAATGCAGGTAATATCACTATTAAAAATTACATGGCTTTTAAGCCATGGCCACACTTTTCCTTTTTGATATGTAAATGTTAAATTGTTGATAATTTCAGTCTCAGAAGAAATATTTTTGCAAGAAAGCCATTTGGAGCTCATGGAGCTCTCAGTGGATTAGTTTTTCTCAGGAGCAGGGCTGAATTTATAATAAAGTCTGTCTGTACCATCCCGGCTGCGTGTCACACACGAGTGACTGGTAGTGACTTATTAAAGAAATATGGATATTGATCTAGTACCAATATCCAACTGTGACGGACAAAAACTCTCTAACAGTTTAAAGTTAGAAAGTGTGTGTTTATTGTGTGTGGGATTGCTCCCACATCCACACCACAGCTTCCAGGTGATTACAGAGCCGTTTTATCCATACAAGTATTGAATACCCAAAATACAAATACATATTCATCATTTTGGAGCATTCCATTCCTCGCTTTGTATGTTAATTATTTCAAAAGTTATTAAGCATGCGTGGTTTGTTCCTTGAAATGGGTCGGTGTCGCTTTCATGGGGAGGGGTCCCAAAATGAGGAAGTAAATGAAGTTTTCCTCATTCTGACCTTTCTGCCTTTTCAATGCAAATATGACAAATAAACTCTAGGTAGAATTCCCATTCCTTGTCTTCAATTGGTTTCGGAACAGAGGAGGCCCACAATTGTCTTATGTTCCTAAAAGCTATTTGTCAGTTTGTGTATTCTTCATTATAAACCCAGCTAACTAAACATTGTGCTGACAAGCAATCAATTATTAGTTAACTACTAACTCTTAACTCCTACTCATTTATTTGAATTAACTCTAGTAAGGCTTATCTCTAACTAAAATCTTAGCTCTTCAAAAATCTCTAAATTCCTTAAAATTGACGTTTCAGTCGGGTGAGCATTAACGGATACTGGAAGCACTGGGATGCTCCAGCTCGGTGCTCGGTGAGGGGGCTGCAGAGACCCCCGGCACACGCCGAGAGCCGCTCCCGGGGCCGCTCCTGGAGCCGCCCGGGGCGGTGCCCGCGGGGCCGGACCCGGCCCGGGGCTGCGGGACCGGACCCGCCCCGCACCGGCGGCGATGGGACCGATCCCGGCGCTGATCCCGGTGCTGCTCCTGGGACCGGTCCCGGTGCTGCTCCCGGCGCTGATCGGCGCCGCAGCCGGGCGGGTGAGCGGGGCCGGGCGGGGCAGGGGCGCTGCAAAGCGGGAGCAAAGCGGGAGCAAAGCGGGAGCAAAGCGGGAGCAAGGCGCGGCGAACGCGGGCGGGCATCGTCTCACTGCGGTGTGTGCCGTCCCTTTGTCACCTGCCCGCCCCTTGTCCCCTGTCTGTCCCTTGTCACCGGTCCCTTGTTGCCTGTCTGTCCCTCTTCATCTGTCTCCTGCCCCTTGTCACCTGTCCTGCCCCTTGTCGCCTTTCTGTCCCTTGTCCCCTGTCTGTCCCTTGTCACCGGTCCCTTGTTGCCTGTCTGTCCCTCTTCACCTGTCTCCTGCCCCTTGTCACCTGTCCTGCCCCTTGTCGCCTTTCTGTCCCTTGTCCCCTGTCTGTCCCTTGTCACCGGTCCCTTGTTGCCTGTCTGTCACTTGTCACCTGTCCCTTGTCTCCTGCCCCTTGTTGCCTTTCTGTCCCTTGTTGCCTTTCTGCCCCTTATCGCCTGTCCCTTGTCGCCTGTCTGTCCCTTGTCACCTGTCTCCTGCCCCTTGTCACCTGTCCCTTGTCTCCTGCCCCTTATTGCCTTTCTGTCCCTTGTCGCCTTTCTGTCCCTTGTCGCCTGTCCCTTGTCGCCTGTCTGTCCCTTGTCACCTGTCCCTTGTCCCCTGTCTGTCCCTTGTCACCTCTGTGCCCCTGGGCTTGGGCTGGATTCACCGTGATCTCTACAGCAATCTCATTCTTAGAACTTCTAAGCTCAGCCTTTGTCTATGTTGTTGTTGCTTCTTGGCTTCCCACAGGAATGAATGACTAATAATTTTTCCTGGATTTTCATCGGAAATACGTTGATTTTGCAGGCTTATTTGAATGTTTGTAAAAAAACGTGGTGAGCATCCTGGAAACTGCAGAGTGTAAACTCATTTCTATATTACATTGCTTACACAGGAAGAACTTGTGCTCCGTTGGTTCCCTAGAACTCTTCCCTATTTAAATTGAAAAGCCTTTTAGCTTGCAGCAAAGATCTGACGTGCTGCAGCTGTTGCTGTTCCCCTTCCTTGTCCTGTTCCTTATCCAGCTGCAGCACTGCTGGGCAATGAGGGTTTGTACCTGTGTCAGCCAAAAAGCTCAGTGGGATCTGTTTGCCTTCCACTCAGTGTTTTCTGTACTGGTGTCTTGATAGCACTTTTCTATCTGGTTTTAAAATGTTCAGGATTGTGAAGATAAAAATGGAAATGTTGCTGAGATGCCCAGGTCACTGTGTTCTCATGGGATATTTATGTTAGTTACATGTTTATTTAATCATAGGAATTGAGGCTGGGTAAGACAAAGGTTCAGTGAAATGAGGTGAGGATGTCAGAATGTGCATTGAAGCTGGAATTACACAGTGGTCTTTTAAGGAGTACGGGGTGCTACAGTGAACTGAAAATATTTAAAAATAATTATTTTAACTGTTTCTCACTGTCTTTTAATTCAGCTCTGGTATTAAGGTGAGAGTGTTTTGAACCTGATTTACTGGACACCTTGCAGTGGGTAGGATAAAGCAGATAGAGAAGGGACAGTCTCAGAATTGTAGCAGAACTTATCACCAGAATTTAAGTTTGTCATGTTTCATGCTGAGCAAGGGACTTCGGTTCAAATGGAATTAGTCTCCTCTCACTCTAAATATGACTGAAACATAATGATGGAAATAATGACAGAAACTTTCAGCATCACTTTTTGCACTGTGACAAAATAAGGAAAAGCTTATATGTAATGTTAGAAAAACAAATGCCATAGTTTTGGTAATACCACACCTGCCACAGAACTGGAGAAAAACCCATTCCTGTTATATAATTTTTTAACAATGATTTGTTAAAGAAAACTTTATTTTTGAGGGAGACAAACTGGCAAAGCAATAGCTCTTGAGTGACACTACTTCTTGGGTTTTTTCTCTGGGAGTCTCTGAAAGTTCCCAGCCTTGGTCCTTGTGTTAGACACAGGAACTGAACATTATTTTTGCCATTTTGAACAATTGAATCACCAAACTTATCAGTAATAGCCTGAAGTTTTCAAAGAGAATAACTGGTGAAATATGTTTTTCCAAATAGATATATAATAAAATATACCTTGTCTTCCTACAAACTTAGACATATAATTTTTGCATGTTGTGAACAGCTTCCATATTCTGTGCATCCCTCTGATTTCTCATCTGGGAAGATGTTTTCATATTCTGGTGGCGAGTGGCAATGAAGCAGAATTCCTGACAGCAAAAACTGACTCTCAGGGAGGGGGGATGTTGGAGTGTAAATCTGTTGGTGTGTGGCTGTGCAAGAACTCCTGCCCTACAGAAGTAAAGTACAATATAGAGAATAATTCACATAATGGACTGTAATCTTTGAGAGATGTGCAGCACAGCAGCTTTGAAAGAAACTTTATCGTTTGAGTAAAGTTGGTACAGCCTAAGACAACTCCTGATTTGGGTGATGCTGTTATCTGGTAACTCAACTTCAACAGAATGGTTTTTTTAATGAGAAGTTTAAGTATTTTAGACAGAATTCTGTTTTTTCCTGCCTCTGGTAGGTCTGGTAGCTCAGCAAATAGTGTCTCTGTATCTCAAGTCCTTTCCATAGAAACAGATTTTACCTAACAGAGACCTCAGTGACTTCATTGTGGTTTCACGTGCGTGAAGAACTTTGTACACAAATGCTGTTCCTCTCCAGACTCCTCTGACTCACACCTTAGTTTGAAGCCAAATGTGTGAAAAGGAGATCAGTAGAAATGTAGACATGTGAATTAGGATTAAAATATATGCTTAAATATCTTTGTTTAAATGGCCTTGAGTGAAAATGAGTGTTATATGAATGGATTAATATAGATTTATCTATTATATTAACATGTTTTATTTTTATTATTTAAGATGCTTAAATTTAATTACACATCAAGTCCTTTCAGTTGGTGTGGAGGTTACAGTTAACCCACTCCTCTCCAGGGACAAATTAGGTTACCTGTGTAGTAATCTCTGTAGTGCAAGCAGGAAAATGATCCAAACAATGAAGGAATTCCAAAGATTCTGGAGTCCCTTACTCTGTGTATGCAACATCTTAGTTATTGCTTGATGCAGAGGCATTGCAAAAATCTCCCTAGTGAGTTAGGAAGTCAAAGGCAAACATAGTTTACCCATTTCTATGCCAAAATGTATTGCTTAATTTGATGTGCATGGAGCTAGACTAAATTTCATTTTAAGAATGTTTGTGCCTCTATTGATAGACAGATGAGGCATTTTATTTCTTCTTGTACCTGTTAAATTAGATTAGGTCTTCCAAAGTCTTAATTTTGTCCTTATAAATTTCTTTTAAATCAGCTGCCACCTAAACTGAGAAGTTCTGAGCCAGTAATGCAAAATGTACAGCATCAGGTTAGTTTCCCTTCACACAATCTGCTTGTAGGACACTGAATCACAGTAAAAACAGGGTAAAATAAGAACTTTTTTTTTTGTGAGAGATACAAACACTAGCAAAATGCAAAGGTTGTGAAATAGAATCTGGCCTCTACTCATCAGTCTTTCAGTGCAAAGTAGCCAATGCATCTGGGTGCCAGACAGAAATCTTACATGGCCCAACTCAGACATTAGGATTGGTCACATTGCTAGAAAATTGGGATCTTCTAGATGAATGGAATCCTTCCAGGGCAAACCAAGCTGAGCACGTGGCTGTAGCTGTGTAAATTGTTTCTAAGCCAGTCACAACTCCTTTTTCATTTCCCATAATGTTCTCTGAGGACATTTGGGAAGAAATTGTCAATTATAAGTCACTGAGAGCCACAGCTCATCAGATAAAATTTCAGGGAGATTGTATCAGACAGTGGAGAGATCCTTCCAAGCACAACTTCAGAGAAACAGGTGTGAACCCAGCAACCGACAGGTTTTCCTGTCTCTGTGGCTCACAGGGCAGGATTTACAACAGACAGGGAAGAGCAGGAGATAAGAACTTTTTTTTTTTTTTAATTTTTATTTTTGCCAGGAAGCCTCACCAGCAGGGTAATTTGTGATGTGGTTTATTGAATTTCTCCCTTTTTTCCCCCCTTGTCTGCTCTTGCAGTGAAGCTTATGTTTTGAAAAGGCTCTCAACTGACTACAAAAATGGGATGACAACACTTGATCTTTCCTCTTCTAATAAAAGAGTAACTTAATGAAAAATACTTTTGATGAGAGCAGAGCCCTTTTCCCCTTCATCAAATTTTAGTGTCAGCACAAGTTTGCAAACAGGTTTTATCAAGTTTTATCATTGTCCACCGTATGATATCTAAACTCAAGAAGACTTTTCTCTGCCTTCACATTCTCAGAAAAGGGTTTTTTTTGACGCTGGCCATTGAGTAGGTTGACAAAATCCTGTTTTTGATCACAGCTAAGTAAGAGGTAGAATATTTCAATGAGCTGCATAAGGAAATTCCCTTTAAGCAATTGCTGAGGGTGGGAAATGTTAATATCCTTTGTCAGTAATGTGAAGACACACTAGATATTCAACATATTATTCAGTAAGGTGGAAGGATATTTTCATTGCCAGCTTCCCAAGATTTTGTTCCTGTTTTGATTTTTTAAAATTTTTTTTATTTTTTAGTTTTAGTAATGATTCCTCTAAATGTGTGTAGATTATGCATGGAGCAATCTCTTCAATCTCTTCAGACTGCAATGATGCCTTAAAGCTGAGCAGTGTCACATCCTTTTTTTAACAGTGCCTTTTTGATCTAGCAGAAAACACCTACGCTTGTCCTACCTAACAGGAGCCTTGTTTAAGTGAGTGTATTTTTCCCTTTGAAAATAGTAAGTCATCAAATAATTTGACACTTGTTCATTGAAGTCGTTGAGCTGTGCTGATCAGTGTGAGCTGAAATTAGGCACCCTGCATTTCATGATTGTCTCTAATGCATTTAACCTGCATATTTATCTGCATCCTCTGCAAAGGTGCTGCTTCTCAGAAGCAGCTGTGCAGTTTTTGGAGACATCATTTTCAAAACATCAAGGCCTTTCTTGCTCAGGAAGGAATCACAGTGTGTCTGGAAAGATAAAAGCCTTTTCCCCTTTTCTTTGGAAAGGTTGACTGAAGTTTTTGAGCCACTTTAGAGTAAATGTTTCTCCCACAAGCCCACAGATGGGAATTTAGGTTTCTCTGCTGTTTTGCCAAATGTTGTTTGAGGCATGGCAGCTGAGGATAAGGCACTCAGCCCTTTGGTTTGGAGGATGCACTAATGAGCAGATATGATGCTAATCCCATAGCTTCACTGCACTCTTTTGAACCTAAAACCTGGAGAAATCACTTTGTTTGTGGTGGTGGATCTTTGGAAAACAGAGGAACCTCAGAACAGTCACATGCAGCTCATGAGCTGTTCACTGCCCTGCAGCCTCTTGGCATCTGCTGGGTTTGTTCCACTGGAGCTACATTGGTGCCTTGGAAAGGAAGGTGCTTGTAATTGCACTGGTCTTTAGGTATTTGTCTCTTTTGAGTCTCTAATTCCGGATCAGAATGGACTTGTGACTCATGACTTCCCCTTGATTTCTCCTAGGAATATTCATTACCTTACACGCCACAGTTTGCACAATGCAGCAATCCCAGCACTGAATTCTATGATGAAGAACTTAATAAATGCTGCAGCCAGTGCCCTCCAGGTAGGTTATAATTCAAACCATTACTTTACACAGCCAAATTCACTCAGTTTTCAGGTGTATTTTGATTACTTATACATCTAAAGTGCATCAGATTTTTGCTGTTTAATGCATTCTTCCTCAACAAAGACAACAAAACACTATGACTGCAAAACACCTGCAAAAGAGGCACATTGTCCATTGGAACTGGAATTTTCCTACAAGTTTAACTGTGCTGGGGCTTACCAGGAGGTAGGTTCTGAGCTTGTGTAAGCACAGCTCTGCATGAGGTTTTCATTAAAGTAATTAAAGTAATTTTAGTCAACATTGGAGAGGAAGCAACAGCTCCTAAAGGAATTACAAAAATTAGGCAACGCAGACCCAAGCCCACCAATAAAATTATATATTGTAAAACAGGGCATGAAGTAAAGCTTGGTTTCTGTACTATGATAATGTCACTTATCTAAGGGGTTTTCCATCAGTCTGTCATTGCTCATTAAGGGAGTTGTTGTCTTTTACTGTAAATCAGACACTGCAGAACTCACTGGGGACAGGACTGCAGACACTGTCTGCTCTGAGCTGCCACGTCCTACACTCCAGGGGTGATTTTGAGTGACTTGTAGTTAGCCAAAGTCATTGTCTGTGGGTTTTGGGATTGTTTTTTTTGTGGGGGATAGTAATGTTCTTTGGAGATTTTGGTAGTAGAGTTTTTGCAACAAGTTGTAACTATATTATTATATTAGATACAGGGAAAAAAAAAACAATCAAAAAACCTGCTTTTTTTCCTTTGAGCAATGAACATGCTGAGCAAAGAAAATTTGTCTCCACAAATGCCAAGTGTCTCTCAGATCCGGAAGTTTAAACAGGAAATCAGTATTTACTGAAACAGCTGCAGTTTCTTGAATTAACTGAAATTATCTAGATAGAGCTGTCAAACTTCCTTTGTTCATGACAGATGAAAGATGGTAATTCATAAGTAAAACTTTTCAGTTGTGTTATGTGGTGTTCAGTGAATCAGCCTAGATCATTAGCAGGATGTAGGATGCAGAATGTAAAGCTTTAATTAAATACAGGGAAAAACAAAGTCTTTGGAAATAATTAATTTGGCTCTGCAGGGCCTCTTTGTTTGAAAAACAGATTCTCCAAGCGCCTCTAACAATTTTGCAGTGTTATTCCTGCTTCCTGAGTATGTTTTCCAGGATATTTTTGTAAAGGATATGAGACATTGACTTTTATCTTCTTTCTCCTTTCACATGAAAGGGAAATGGCAATTGAGGTGTTTTCTCCAAAATTAATATGTTGGAACTCATATTTACATGCTCTCACATGTAATAAATTTGAGAAATAGTACAAACTCTGTTGGTGGTGAGAAGCTTTGGAGAAACTGAGGCATTAATTTTGAAGAATTAAGAATTTTAAGAAAGTTAAGATGATAGTTAAATTAGATGTTGCTGAGTTAGTGGAAGTAGATAGAAAGGCTTTGTTCATAGTTAACAGTAGCTGGATCTTAGATAAGATACCCAGGATCTATTAACTCATTGCTTGTCAACTTATGTTTGGGTAGCTGTGCTTATCATGAGAAACAGAATGTGACAAACAGATTTCAGGGACACAAAAACAGTTGCAGACTTCCCATACTTGAGGAATCCACTGAACACAGGAAAACCACAAGGATTCATTTGTCATGTGTGCATGAGAAAGGCAGAATGGTCAGAACGAGGAAGACTTATTTTACTTCCTCATTTTGGAAACCCCTCCCAAATGGATCCCCAGCTCATTTCAGGGAACAGAACTACGAATGCTTAATGGCTTTTTTGCCAATTAGCATATGGAGTGCAGCAGAGGAGGTGACAGGGATATGAATATGCATTCATATTTTGTGTATTCAAGACTTCTGTAAATAAAAGGGCTTTGTAACACCTGTGATTTTCGCAGTGCACATTAGGGAGTCATCCCACACACACTTTCTAACTTTAAACTGTTAGAGAGTTTTTGTCTGTCTCAGTTGGATATCGATATTACATCGATATTCATATTTTAATAAATCAAAACCGCCTGTGATAGCTTTTGATTTTGTCTGGAATGCCAGCTGTCACGGCAGGAAGTGGGTGCTGGTCAGAGTGCCATGACCCCCCTGGAGAAATGTCCTTAAAAGAACGTCCTGGTGGCACAGGAGACCCTCCTGGAGAAATGTCCTTAAAAGAACATCCTGGTGGCACAGGAGACCCTCCTGGAGAAGTGTCCTTAAAAGAACATCCTGGTGGCACAGGCACCTCTGTGCTCTCGCCAAGTGACTGCAGCTCTCCGTGTGTTCAGAGGCAGAACGAAGGATGGGGTCCTTGTATGGGGTTCCACGAGAATCTTTATTAGGCCTCTGCCATGAAGGGGTCCAGGGACCAGGAGACCCTCACCCTCTCGATGGAATGGAGAGAGCTCCAGATAGTCAGGTTTCAGAAGCTCCCTGCTTGGCTCTGTTAGGGCTGGAGAGGTGAGGGAGGAACAGTGGGCTCGTGTCCCTTTCATAGTGACAAGAGGTGAAGTTCTAATTCAGGCCTGTTTGTGATGTGACTTGATCTCTCCACTTGCTGCCTGTAACATTCTGGTGTGTGCCTGAGGTTGTGAAACACCTCCACGTGTTCACCACAAAACAGCTCCTGCCAAGGTAAAATGTTTGGTTTATGTATTGTGGTAGCTGCACCTAAGGGTTTTGTTCAGGATTGAGGCTGCCTTGTTTTGAATGTGTCTGGAATCCACTGAACTAAATGTAGGAAAAGGGGTCAAATGTGGATGGACATAAATCAGACTTTCCCTGTAGAGACATGCAGTCCTCTACATCAGTGTATGGTGTATGATACCAATCTGATAATGTCAGTGAAGGGAAAGGATTCTACAGCTCAGAATGAGACTTAATTCCTAGTGATTTGTTTTCTCTGTTTTGGTTTGGGTTATTTTTCTTTTAACAGGTCAGTATAGGACAAGGAGCTGCAGTCACACGATGGACACCAAGTGCAGCCCCTGCAGACCTAAAACTTACACAGCGATCTGGAATCATTCTCCTCAGTGCTTTGCCTGCTCACCACCCTGCAGGAAAGGTAAGCTTGCATTAGTAAAGAGGCTTGCTCAAAACTGGGTTTTGTTTAACCTTGTTTTTTCTCCTAAGAAACCCAGGAGATTTTGTCAATAACTTGTGTAGTCCTCATGCTTTTGGAATGTGTAAGATTTAGGGATATGAATCAAGGAAAAGTCTTGCAGGGAACCCTGGCTCTTTTTCTTTTTAAGTCCTCAAAATGAGACACCAATCTTATATTATTAAAATCTAAGGCACCACATCAATAAAATATTCCAAATGCCATCAGTAGAATAAGTTCCTGCTTACAACATCCCATCAAGAGACCTTAAGACCTGACTTGGACACAGGTAAATGGATAATTACATTTCCAACATCCTGCCATTTCTCATTTTGCCTGCTGAAGTGACAACAGCAAACAGGGATTGTGATATTCCTTTCTTATTTATTTTGCAAAGCAGCAGTCAGTGAGAGCACACTGGTTCTGTTCACTGTAGCAGCTTAACAGTACCTAAGGTAGAACATTGTACCAACACCTGTACTTTGGGCTAATAGATTACCCCCATTAATGAACTCAATCATGCTGTTCTCCATCATTTCTAATGGAAATTGGTGTGGAACATTATATACTTGATTCACTGAGAAGAAAGTTTTAAGGATACAGTCTAAGTTGAAAGGACCTTTGGTCTCGTATAAATAGATAATCTTACAAAGCCGGTTAATTACAATATGAAAATATCTGTAGTAAAATCTCCAAACACATTAAATACAGTTACATGATCTGCAGAGACCGAAAATCTCAGTGTGGCCCCCAAGTATGGCAGTGGAGACACAAATGGCCATGTTTGGGTTATGACAAAATGTAACACAACTGTAGGCACAGAGTTTTAAGTGTGCACTCTGCAGGTGCAAATTTCTCCTTGCCTAGAGAGAGAAAACTTCTGAAAAGGCAGACATTGGGGCATAATACACATTTGGTTCATGGTGCTATACAAGCCCACTTGTATGTGAACATCACCTCATGTTCACTCGAAATATTGCAGGCTGTGATTTTAAATGTTGTCAATGACATCTTGCTTTATTTTTGTTTTAAAACCAGGGCTTGTACAGAATCAAACGTGCACTAGGTCCCAGGACAGAATCTGTAGCTGCCCACCCCACAAGTACTGTGTTTCCAAGCTGGACGAGTACTGCGAACTCTGTAGAACACATAAAAAATGTGGCAAAGGCTACCGGGTTTCCAGAAGAGGTAATTTGATTTTAAACACTCTGCTTACTGCACACTTATTCTGGCCTAATTCCCTACAGTTGTGCATTCCTTTTAGGGTTTATTTTTACATTCTTAGCAAGTGGGCACTAACCAGAGTAAAAGTATTCTCCAGAGGTATATCCAAAGTGACATATTGCAATTTCTTACTGTCATATATCAGAAAGTTCCCAATCCAACTTCATCTTCGTTTTGTTCTACTGGGTGATTTATTCTGTACAAGTGACTGAGATCCAAGATCACTTAATCACTCCTTAAATCCTTGGAAAATAACTTCAGATGGAATTTTGGGTACAGTAAATAATGATGACTCTATGCTGTCCTGCAGAATTGATCTGGTTTTATTAATTGATGGAATCCACCACCCTAATAATACATCTGTCTCAAAATGATAAATAATTTTAAAATATTCAAAACATTGAACATTTAAAAAAAATAGGAATCATTTTGAAAAGATGCAGGACTCAACAGTATGGTAGTCAGGCCGGTGAAAAGCTCAGCTTTGTCTGCAGCACCACATTTGAGCCTTTAATGGCACCAAACTTACAGCTGGTTAATCATGTTTTTGGGTTGGGTGAATGTCTTCTGTGACAGTTATAGACTGGTTTTGCACTGCTTCTCTATCACTGCTAGGATCTTTTGCAGACCTGATTATTCATTCCTGTTTCTCACCAGATAAGTAACTGGAGTTTTTCTCTTTGTTTAAAGGGACAGACAGCACAGACACAGAATGCAAACCTTGTCCTCCTGGCACGTTTTCCCCTGAGGAATCCTACAACACCAGCTGCACACCCCATACCATGTGAGCCAGTGTTCTGTCCAACAGCAGCCTTAACTGTGCAGGGCTTTCTGTCGTTCCTAACTTCTCTTTTTGTCTCTTGCAGCTGTAAATCAGTGGCTGTTCCTGGGAACAGCAGGAATGACACTGTTTGCAGTGACTCAGGAACAGCCACAGCTCTGCCTCACACCATTTTGAACCTACTTCAGACCCAAAGCTCAGCTTCCCCCAAACCTGAAATAGTAACTCGAGCTGTCACGTTAAACTCTGTACCTGACCTGTCCCACATCACTGGTGAGCTTTAACTCATTTAAAGTTGCTTTTGTCTGCTCAGGAACCAAGTTTATATTTAATTCTCAGTGTCTTTCCAAAACCAGGCACCTGTACCCAAACAGAACCTCAGAAGAGCTCAATTAATTTAATGTGACATTGCTTGTAGTGAACTGCGTTTTTATTTGTGCATCTGCACTACCCCAGTGCGTTCTATGGTCCACATAAATCTGGAAACATTTCTAAAAAACCCCAATCTAAGTTATACAAGGCATTTCCTGATAATTGCTGCTATAGCTGGTAGAAGAGGTTGTATCTTAGATTCTGGATTGAGGCAAACCTGACCTGGTGAGAGGTCTGTGAGTCTTCTGTCAGCCTTTCCTGACACAGAAGGTCCTGACAGCATTCCCAGCTGTGTGTTCTCTCCTGTTCACAGCCCATCCTATAGATGTTTAGGAGCATTTTGAGCTACTTGGCCTTGCATGTGACAAATTCTTGCTTCCCTAGAGAAATACCTTTTGTGATCAAGGCCAAAAGTCTGTCCTCACTTTTCAGGAGAGGAGAATTCAGTTTTATGAAGTGGTGGTGACTGAAATGAAGTCTTGGTGTCTGACGATTGAGACATCAAATGTGAATGTCAGACATACACAATACTTGTCAATTTAGCTTTTGTAGCCATGCACAGAAACGACAAAATTACCTTTTTCTAATTCAATCCTTTGTTAGATCAATCTGATAAATAATTTCTTCTTTTTATTTACTTTCAGGAGCAGTAGCAGGGCCACTGTTATTGGTCTTGATAATTGCTATTTTGGGGTATTGCTTAGTCTCAAAAAAAAAAGGTAAGATTCATGAAGCAAAAACAAGCAAATCTGGGGATCACTCAGCCTAGTTTAGGGTGCAGCTGTTGCAAATGGGAAGGTTTGTGTGCTAATAAACTGTCTTTGCTCACTGGCAGCCCTTGTGTACTCTGCAGCAGCTACAAAAGCAGATTTGGTGAGTGTCCTCTCTTTCCATCTCTTCCATTTCTTTAAAAGTTCTACAGAAATCATAAACTCTCACCTAATTACAAGTAGAAGAAAACTGCACAGCAGCAAGAAAACTGGAGAACAGGGTGGTCTGGTCCCCAAGCTAGGGTGCAAAATGTACCTTATATATCCCACATAATGTCCCACCCTCACTTTGTGTGAGGCTAAAAACAGCTGTAAAATCCAGGTGGGGTTTTGATAACTAAATCTGATAGCCTTTGGTCCCTAGTAATCATTATGAGCTGTTATTTTAATATTATGAGCTGTTACGGATTTTACTTGCACTCATCACTATGCAAATGAAAATAATTATAGAATGGCTTGGATTGGAAGGGACCTTAAAGCTCCTCTAGTTCCAATCATCAATGGTTTCTTTAGCCACCAAAATACTGACCAGTTCTTTCCTAGTGGGTTGCCTTTTTTTTTTTCTTAAATATTAACATTTTGCATTTCTCTGCAAATGTTCCAGCCTTTTCCCCCTCCAGAAAAACAGTGTGACAAAGAAGTCAGAGATACAGAATGGCAGAACTCCAGGAGTTCTCAACAGGAACAACAGCACCTCTTGGAAACTTCTGGGTCCAGCAGTAGTGTCCTAAACACAACTGGATCTGCAACCATCAGTGCAATAAGTAAAAAGAATTATGAAAAGAAAAACCTAGGAGGGTTTCAGCAGCAACATTCACCTCCTGAAGGTCCTAAATTCCAGAGTGGAGACAGACACAGCTCTGTGAGTTCAGGTAGTAATGATTCTGAATGATCCAGAACCTCTTGAAATTTGTCAATTATGAGTCTTTTTAGCAGAAGTTTAAATGGCAAGATAAAACATCTGGGTCGTGTTTTGCAGAGAGAAAATTTAGTAATTTTTGAAAAGAAAAAATGGTTTTAAGTTGCCATTTTGAGACAGAAAAGAGAGTTTTCTCAGTGGAGAAAGAAGTATTTAGGGGCTAGAGGATCAGGTGGTTGGCACTTACCTGTGAGTGGGAGTAGAAGCCAAAGGGAGCAGTTACTGTCAAAAGCATTTGAAATCACAACAGATGGGCAAGAAATTGTTTGCAATCCAGGTCTCTGCATTAATTTTTAGCCTTTTTATTTCTGGGGAGATATGTAGATTTTATGGTACCAAAATGTTACAGAACCAACTCAACCAGCTTGACTAAATTATGTGAAACAAAAAGATCTTTAGTGTCTATTTGAACAATAAGTCAAAGAGCTGGATAAAGAATTCAACTGCCCTGGTTTCATTCTCTGTGTTGTGTGTTTATTTGACAGAACATTCTGGCAGCGGAGGAACGCAGGTGAATGTGACGTGCATTGTTAAATTTTGCAGAGCAGACCGCAGCTCCCAGTGCCCCGAGCAGACTGGTTCAGCTCGCAGGGATTACGGGCACACGTCCTTTTATTCCCCAGCAGGGGATGAAACCCTCCCTTCCAAAGAAGAAAATGCCTTGAACAAAGAAGCTGAAATTCACATTGCAGTGGAAAATGAGGAAAATTTACTTCAAGACTTTCTTCCAGAAGAAAAGAAGGTTCCTCTGGGTATTCAAGATGCTGGGATGAAAACCAGTTAAAGGAAATTACAGGTCATATGCTGATTGACTGATAAAAGCAAAAGAGGAAAAGAAAAGGAACAACCTCTTCTCTTATAAAACAAACATTATGGTAAATGTAGCTTTCTTACGGAGATTTGAAATTTCAGATGAATATAGACACTGATGCTTCCAAGGTTTTAATTGTCTTCTGTCGCTTTGCAGTTTAAAAGAAAAAGCATTGAAACTTTTTAAAATTGAATGGCCAACTCCTCTCTTTCTTCTGTGATACCCTAAGAGGACCTTTGTCAGACTTGAAAAGGAATATTTTTCAAATATTTTGAAAATTTATGCTATTAAATTTTCTCCTGAGACTTCTTGTGATGATGATTTTTATTCAAGGTCTGCCACGTGTTGAGAACATGGCTGTGACCAACACTTCTAAGGGACTGGAGTTAAATGATCATTCTTTCAATGTTCAGGAATCATCAGTTTGATTTGAATTTTAAATATTGCATTCAGTTTCCTATCCTGTATCTTAGTTGTCATACTTTCCCTCACCCTCCTGAATATTTATTATTACAGTTTGTTTTTTCTTATTATCAGACCAAATTTCTCAGGTACATATAGGATATCAGGAAGTGAAATCTTTTACACAGGTGTTTTACAACTAAAATTACAACTGTTATGTCTAAACAACAGTATTTCATTGCATGTACATAGTTCATTTTGTTTTAGAAGGGAAAACCTCAATTGAAATGTTGTTATCTTTAAGTAGGAAGTTCATTTTGTTGACAATCCCAGAGTTCGTCACCTTTGTGTCCTGGCTGAGGTAATTGGGTTTCCCCAATTAATCCTGACCTCATTTTTGAGGTAAACCATAAATCCAAAATATTTTCCCTGTTTGGTGACTATTAGAGCAGATCCCTGTGATTTTCTTTGCCAGATAGGTCACTGCCCTCAGGTGGTAGAGTATCATCTGTAATAAATGGAATTTACTCAAACCTCAGAACAGGAAAATCCTGTTCTCCTTCAGTGCTTGATGATGCTGGAGCTCCAACCACCTCTTACAGAACATTAATGGAGGTTCTCCTTGAATGAAGTGGTTTGGAAGCCAATATTTAGGAACCCACTTCCCATAATTATATTTTACATCTGTGACTTAACTGTCAATTGTGGTGGCTGTGTTCAACCAGAATCTGCAATCCAGAGTCTGAATCCCATGGGAGTGAGGTCATACAGTGACACATAACCCTTGTCTTATGCCATAAAAACACTCTTGGACTCTGTGATCCCTGTATTTCCCACTGAACTGTCCTAATCTGTCTCAAGACAAACAGTGGTTATTTCTGAGGCCTGAGACATAAAAGGATCTTTTGGAATAACATTGCTACAAGAGTATTCAGATTCTAAAAATACAATTTTTAAACTTCCACAAAAGCTATGGTATTATGTAAGCTGTAACTATTTCTGGAACTCACAAACATGTCTGTAGTTCTACTATGAAGAAGCTTTTTGCAAATCTGTATTAAAACATACACTTGAAGGTATTCTTCAGGAAAGGCTTTGAAAATGGACACACTGAAAATACTACAGGACTTAAGGATTTAGGCAAGAACCTAATTTTTCACAGCTCTTTGAACCTCTTGCTCTCTAATGTTTCTGTCAGCTCCCACTATTGGGGCCATATTGAAGCAGCAAAGGAAGATTTTTGAAGGCCATTTCAGTGAGGGTTCCTGCCCCAAACCCGCCCTGTTTGAGCCCATTTCAGTGAGGGTGTTTGAGACCATTTCAGTGAGGGCTCCTGCCCCAAACCCGCCCTGTTTGAGCCCATTTCAGTGAGGGCTCCTGCCCCAAACCCGCCCTGTTTGAGCCCATTTCTGTGAGGGCTCCTGCCCCAAACCCGCCCTGTTTGAACCCATTTCTGTGAGGGCTCCTGCCCCAAACCCGCCCTGTTTGAACCCATTTCAGTGAGGGTTCCTGCCCCAAACCCGCCCTGTTTGAGCCCATTTCTGTGAGGGTGTTTGAGCCCATTTCAGTGAGGGTGTTTGAGACCATTTCAGTGAGGGCTCCTGCCCCAAACCCGCCCTGTTTGAGCCCATTTCTGTGAGGGTTCCTGCCCCAAACCCGTCCTGTTTGAGCCCATTTCAGTGAGGGCTCCTGCCCCAAACCTGCCCTGTTTGAACTCATTTCAGTGAGGATTCCTGCCCCAAACCCGTCCTGTTTGAGCCCATTTCAGTGAGAGTGTTTGAGCCCATTTCTGTGAGGGTTCCTGCCCCAAACCCGCCCTGTTTGAGCCCATTTCCGTCCCTGCCCCAATCCCGCCCATTCTCAGCCCATTTCCGTCCTGCCCCAAACCCGCCCATTCTCAGCCCATTTCCGTCCCTGCCCCAAACCCGCCCATTCTCAGCCCATTTCCGTTCCTGACCCAAACCCGCCCTGTTTGAGCCCATTTCCGTCCCTGCCCCAAACCCGCCCATTCTCAGCCCATTTCCGTGCCTGCCCCAAACCCGCCCATTCTCAGCCCATTTCCGTCCCTGCCCCAAACCCGCCCATTCTCAGCCCGTTTCCGTGAGGGCGGCGCGGCCGCCCCGCCTGGGGCCCGCCCAGGGGCGTTACCCGGCCCCGCCTGCAGGGGGCGGTCCCGCGCCATCGATCGCTCGGCGCTCCCGCACTCAGCCGCGCCCCCGCCGCCGCCGCCCCCCGCCCGCCGCGCAGGTGAGTCCGGGGCTCCCGGGGCGCTCCGAGGCGGCCCCACGGGGGTACCGGGGGGAACTCGGGGCACTCCCGGCCCCGCTGCCATTCCCTGCTGCGTCAGCCGCCGCTGCCGCTGCTCGGGTCCGGCCTGAGGGGCCCCTCCCTGCCGCACGCCCCTCACGGCGCCCCGCCCCGCCCCGCCGCGGGTGGGCGAGGGGCAGCCCCGGTGCGGCCCGGGCCGGGTGCCGGTCCCGCCGCGGGGCAGCCCCGGTGCGGCCCGGGCCGGGTGCCGGTCCCGCCGCGGGGGGGTGGGCTCCGCCTCGCCGCGGGGCCCGGGGGTCCCTCAGGGCCTCCCCGCCCGCCTCGGGCCGCTCGCCGCCTCCCGCTGCCCGGGGCTCCCGCGGGTCCGTCCCGCTCCGCCGGGCAAGGTGACCTTTGCCTTCCTCCCCGGCCCGCGGTGCGAGCCCGCACGGCTCTGCCGCCGGTGCCCCGTGTCCCGGTGCTGCCCCAAGGCTCCTTCCCTCCCGGCTTTGGGCTGGAAGAGCCCCCCGCCCGTCCGACCCCCTGTGCCCAGCGCCTGCTCCGTGTCCCCGTGCTGACAATTCCATCCTTTTTCACTTGGAGCCAGGGCCTGCTGTGGGCTTTGCTTCTCACCCTGTTCTTGTGCTGAGTGTGGTAAAGAAATTCAAACATTGTCATAGAAAAGAAATGCCTTATTTTTCTTCACAGGCACAGCGCTGCACTGCAGAGTTAAAAATATAAAAGAGTTAAAACGTTTGAAAGATTTGTATATGGTAAGTTGTGTGCCACGAGTTTAGGTGAAAGATGTGATGTACTTAATTTACAGTTCGTAGGGTGACTTCAGGCATGGTTCACACACCAGAGGGTTTCAGTCACTGGGATGCTGCTCTCTGCTGTGCTTAATGTTTCTTTAAGGTCTTTGCTTTGCTTTGGTTCCAAACACCTGTAGATTCCTTTTTTTTTTAATAATTTTTTTTAACGATAGTGTAACAAAGATGACTGTGTATGCTTTTGTTTGATCTTGAGTTTCTTGTCACTTTTATTACAATAAAAACCTGTAATACAAGCTGGTGGCCCAAGAGCACAAATGCTTAGACTTTATTATGTGAAACAGTAGTATTTTTTTTCAAAATTGTTAATAAATTTTGCAAAGGCAAAACTGATAAAACACATTTTATGTGAAGTCATGTGACTGAGTTGAATCGAACTTCTCTGTGCTGTTTTCTGTTTCATTTTTCAGGACAGCACAATTTCACTTTCAGCCTTTAGAAAAAGCCTTTCATTGCTTGCTTAATTCTTGTTATTTGATTTAACTATTAGTTAAATATTTTCACTGCCTTTTAAAGAGAGAAATAAAAGTTTAAATGGGGCTGCCTAAAATTAAGCAAATGTCATAATGAGAAAACTCTCAATCTTAGTGTAAAATTTAAAATGCGACTTTTGAAGTTGTTGTTTTCTTTTATTGTCAGCTGTAAATAAAGGCTTTATCTTGCTTTTTCTGCTCTGTAGAATTCAGTTGTTTAGGCTTGTATATGAGATTGGGAGAGTTTTTTAAACACAAAATCGAGACATTTATTCCATTCCAATCTCAAGGAATGGCCTGCATGCTTTTTTCATTACTGTACCAGGCTTCACCCTGCCCTTGCACTAGCTATGAGTAGTTTTGTAATTCAGTGATTAAAAAGTTGAACAGGGACTTTGGGATTTTAATGCCCTGATTACCACAGAAGTGAAACAGAAATAACTGGAGAAGAGTGAAGGGAGATGTTCTGGAGTGTGACCAGTGGTGCTTCTCTAATGTAGCTTTTTCTTCAGTGCAATACTCTCTGCTGCCACTTTGAAAACCTGTTGCAGTAACTGTTGATGAGCTATTTTTGGGGCTTGTATCTGATTACTTCCCACACACAGGCTCTCCCAAAAAGGGGTTTGAGTAGGGTGAGTTGCTTCACAGATGTCGTGTAAGAATTCTACAAAAACACAGTAGGCTTCAGGCTGCTACTTCAGACCTGGCTGCCAAACCCAGCATGGTGAAAATGTTGGCAGCAGAGGTCAAGGAGGCCAGTGCAAACTTCAGATCAACGTGGAATTTTGTCCTTTCCTTTTCTGGAGGAGGATTGTAGATTCTCTGTGTTGATTAGTGCACCACAAAGTAATGTTTTGGTTAGAAAAAGGATGGAAAGATGAACTTTATGTGCAAATATCTCTATGAAGCTGATCTGACACTTAAAGGGCATAGGATAAAGCTTTTTTAAGGTAGAAATCAACCTTAGTGCTTTTACTTCTCATTAGATAGATGACAGTAAGAATTGAAGTGACAGAGATGTCAGCTCGCCTGAGACTGTATGTTTCACACAATAATTGTATTGTTTTTTTCTTTCAGACTGAGACTAATTATGGAAGAGAAATCCAAACAATGACAGAAAAGAATTAGTTTTCTTCTTCTAGGACAGTCATGTTGGAAGGATTGGTAGCCTGGGTCCTCAACACCTACCTGGGCAAATATGTCAATAACCTGAACACAGACCAACTTTCAGTGGCACTCCTAAAGGGTGAGGGAGGCTTTGTGGTATCTTCTGTACTGTTTTCATATTGTGATTTAGAAATGTGTTATTTTTTTGTGATAATTGGAAGGTGGAATAGACATAATCACTTAATA